AAACTCGGTCCTCGGGACCCCAAGGGGTGCACTACACAGTTCATTCAAATAATCAACTAATCATCAAGTGTCTGAATCAGCTGTGTAGTGTTAGGGCAAAAACCAAAACGTACACTCCTTGGTGTCCCAAGGACCGAGTTTGCGAAATGTTGCCATAACCCCACCGCCACCATGGGGCACTCTGTTCACAATAATGACATCAGCAAACCGCTCGCCCACACGACGCCATACATGCTGTCTGCCAACTGCCCGGTACAGTTGAAACCGGGATTCATCCGTGAAGAGCACACTTCTCCAGCGTGCCAGTGGCCATCGAAGGTGAGCCCGCTGAAGTCGGTTACGACATCGTACTGCAGTCAGGTCAAGACCCTGGTGAGGACGATGAGCGCGCAGATGAGCTTCATTGAGACGGTTTCTGACAGTTTGTGCAGAAATTCTTCGGTTGTGCAAACCCACAGTTTCATCAGCTGTCCAGGTGGCTGGTCTCAGACAGTCCCACAGGTGAAGAAGCTGGAGGTGGAGGTCCTGGGCTGGTGTGGTTGTGAGGCCGGTTGGACGTACTGCCAAATTCTCTAAAGCGACGTTGGAGGCGGCTTATGGTAGAGAAATGAACATTCAATTCTCTGGCAACAGCTCTGGTGGCATTCCAATTGCATGCTCCCTCAAAACGTAAGACATCTGTGGCATTGTGTTGTGTGACAAAACGGCACATTTTAGAGTGGCCTTTTATTGTCCCCAGCACAAGGTGCACCTGTGTTATGATCATGCTGTTTAATCAGCTTCTTGATATGCCACACCTGTCAGGTGGATGGATTATCTTGGCAAAGGTGAAATGCTCACTAACAGGGATGTAAACAAATTTGTTCACAACATTTTAGAGAAATATGCCTTTTGTCCGTATGGAAAATGAATGGGATCTTTTATTTCATGTCATGAAACATTGGACCAAGACTTTATATGTTGTGTTTATAGTTTTTGTTCAGTGCATTTGTTCCCCCTGGAAAAATAGTTACTTTCCACAAAGCATTGTTAAAAGTATAGTTATCCCAGGTCTGCATCCTGACACCCCTTCAAATTAATGGATTAGGCTATTTCAGCCACACCCATTGCTGACAGGTGTATAAAAGCGAGCACACAGCCATGCAATCTCCATAGAAAAACATTGGCAGTAGAATGGCCTTACTGAATAGCTCAGTGACTTTCAACGTGGCACCATTATAGGATGCCACCTTTCAAACAAGTCAGTTCGTCAAATTTCTGCCCTGCTAGAGCTTCCCCGGTCAACTATAAGTGCTGCTATTGTGAAGTGGAAAGCTCAGCCACGAAGGGGTAGGCCACACAAGCTCACAGAATGGGACCGCCGAGTGTTGAAGCGCGTAAAGATCGTCTGTCTTCGGTTGCAACACTCACTACAGAGCAACATCAGCGCAGGAACTGTTCGTCGGGAGCTTCATGAAATGGGTTTCCATGGCTGAACAGCCACACACAAGCCTAAGATCACCATGCGTAATACCAAGCATCGGCTGGAGTGGTGTAAAGCTTGCCGCCATTGAACTCTGGAGCCGTGGAAAAGCGTTCTGTGGAGTCATGAATCACGCTTCACCATCTGGCAGTCCGATGAACTTATCTGGGTTTGGCGGATGCCAGGAGAACGCTACCTGCACGAATGCATAGTGCCAACGGTAAAGTTTGGTAGAGGAGGAATAATGGTCTGGGGCTGTTTTTCATGGTTCGGGCTAGGCCCTTAGTTCCAGTGAAGGGAAATCTTAACGCTACAGCATACAATGACATTCTAGGCGATTCTGTGCTTCCAATTTTGTGGCAACAGTTTGGGGAAGGCCCTTTCAAGTTTCAGCATGACAATGCCCCCATGCACAAAGTGAGGTCCATACAGAAATGGTTTCTCGGGATCAGTGTGGAAGACTTTGACTGGCCTGCACAGAGCCCTGACCTCAACTCTATCGAACACCTTTGGGATGAATTGGAACGCCGACTGCGAGCCGAGCCAGTGGTGTAAAGTACTTAAGTAAAAATACTTGAAAGTACTACTTAAGTAGTTTTTTAGGGTATCTCCACTTTACTTTACTAATTATGTTTTTACTTTTACTTCACTACATTCCTAAAGAAAATTGTATACTTTTTACTCCATCAATTTTCCCTGTGACCCAAAAGTACTCGTTACATTTTGAATGCTTAGCAGGGCAGGAAAATGGTCTAATTCACACACTTTTCAAGAGAACATCCCTGGTCATCCCTACTGCCTCTGATCTGGCGGACTCACTAAACACATGCTTTGTTTGTATATGATGTCTGAGTGTTGGAGCGTTCCCCTGGCCATCCGTAAATTTAAAAAACAAGAAAATGGTGCCGTCTGGTTTGCTTAATATAAGGAATTTGAAATTGTTCATACTTTTACTTTTGATACTTAAGTATATTTTAGCTATTACATTTACTTTTGATACTTAAGTATATTTAAAACCAAATACTTTCAGACTTTTACTGCAGTAGGATTTTACTGGGTGACTTTCACTTTTACTTGAATCATGCCCATGATTTTGGAATGAGATGTTCGACGAGCAGGTGTCCACATACTTTTGGTAATGTAGTGTAAATTATACTAACCCACTGGGGACATACGTCAGTTCAACGCCTAGTTTTGATTTACCTTTGGTTGTCAACTAACGTGAATTCAGCGTGAAATCACCATGTCTTTGGATTGAGGTTAAAAGTTGGGTGAAAAAAAGACAAAATGCCCTTAAATTGATGACTTCTTGCAAATCCAATCAGTTTTCCACGTTGATTCAACATCATCATAGCTGTTTAAAGAAAACTGAGCCATGGATTACAGTTTCTCCTGGACCATATACTACGCTCAGGGTGAGGAACCATCTAACATCATGTTGTAAAATTCTGAACTTCCCCTTTAATGTTTTGTAATTTAACTGTACCCAATGAAACATTGAGGTATGTTTATGCACTTGTTTTTCAATTTTTTTTGTAAATGAATGTATTATCTTAGGTTAGTTAATTAACGTGTTCATTGTAACATAACAATCATACTCACTGTATTGAGCAAACACAATTTTCCTGCATCTTCCCACAGAATCAGGTTGTCAAGATGCTTGGCCACATGGATCAGTGCTCCTGAAACGCTCTCTGGATCCGGCAATGTGCACTGGGCTTTGGAAGAATATTCAGGAGTCGGTTCAAATGTGGGGTTGGGTTAAAAACCAGGGATAAGAGACAGAGACAAGCGGCAGATCACTTACCTTGCTTTCACTGTGGCCTTATAGTTCTGTGGAAAAAACAAAGACCAAATGAGTAATACATCCTCATAATACATGAGATGAAATCAGTTCATCAATAAATGTATCTCAAATAATGTCTTCTTTGCACAGAACTGTTGGTTCTTACCTGCAAGAATGGGATACCTTCTGCTTTAAGCTCCTCTACGGCTCTGATTGTGTCTGAAGGGAGCAGTATACTTCAGCCTTGTTTAGTCAGGTGTGCTTTCAAATCTCAGTATTGATGCAGTTTTATCTTGCTCTTCGGAGTTGCAATCTTGTAGTCATAGAAAATGTTAGAATAACTTTGATTCCTATATCGTATCCAATGTCGAACACAGCAGGTAAATTACACCTATAGCTGATACAAGCTGAATGCTACAGTGTGAGGGACTTTACCCAGGACAGAATTCACTGTTATAAAAAGTTAGTTACTTGTATTTTATGTCTTGATGACTTATCCATGGCCATATACAAACACACCAGAGGTGGAAATGAAAAAAGGAAATCACTTTGGGACCCTACAATGCAAAATCCTTGAATTGCCAATGTATATTTTTTTCTCATAGATCCCAGCTTTAACAAATCCATTCATACTAACCACATAAAAAAGAAGCACAGTTTGTGGGCCTAGTTAGGTGCGAAAAATTATTGATTAAAAAAAATTATTGATTTAATGAATATTCCTCTTTGGTTGAGCACTATAGTAATTATTGGTGACTCTGGCCTGACCCTGACCCTGGGCCTTGACTCTCTAGCCCTCTGCAGGCTGTAAACACCACACTTGGATAAACTAGAAAAGCATACATTTCTGAAGAAACTTTATGTGCTTGCTCCAGCTGTCGAAAAGTATGCTATACTAGTTTGAGAATATTAAATAATGGGTTAGTGGGTTAGGCTAGTGGGTAGGTGTAATGTTATGGTAATACAGTATCAACTTTAACTGTGTTATTCCACTCTTACAGACAAAACAAACAAAAATAGCATGTATTCGCTTTAATCATGGAATAGGGAATGACAGTTACAGTATGGCTTTGTATTTCCATGCAATTGATAATATACTTAAGCCAATAAGAGCTAATGATTAACAAATCAAACGTATCTAATACAAAGAAGAAACAGGATTATACTCGACTAAACTTCGACTAGGTGTCAGTTTTCTACTCTCTTGTGCTTTATCAACAGTTTGAGCATTAAGTTCCAATCAATCAAGTCTTTATAATATCTTAACTTGTTTTCAAACAGTAGATGCTTGATTTAAAAGGTGCAATGTGCAGAAATCGCTCTGCCATTTCCTGGTTGCTAAAATTCTAATAGCTCGCCTAATTTCAGTTTATGTGACAAAACAAGCAATAGAGAGAATCATTGTACCATTTAAACCGCTGTGAAATATATTTTCATAACCAAAAATGTTGTATTTCCAGCTGTGTGAAGCTGATGTACAAGACCAAAAGTAAAAGATGCAAAAACTAAACTTCAGAACGGGAAGCATAGAAATAGCGCACATAGAACAGCTCTACCGCTTCTTAGACTTGCTTTCAATGAGAATTACATATCTATAACTCACCTTTCTATGTGACTTTGGTCGGGTCGCCCTAAAGGTTACATATTGCAGCTTTAAAGTTGTGATAAGGGAAATTATAACTTCCTTATCAGCTCTAACTGTGCTGTTCCTAGACAAGAGGCCCTATCAGCTCTAACTATGTTGTTCCACTGTTACAGAGGCCATGACAAGATCTTCAGAGGCTGGCATTTACAGCGATTACCAAGGCAGGGAAAGACTCTCTCAGTGAAAGTGTGTGTGAATGTGTGTAGGTGTGAGTTACTAAAAGGGTCATAGAATGACAGCTTTCCTCTGTCCCAGTCCAGCTGCACTCGGATCCTCTGCGGTCTCAGGCCCAACGTGAAGGGAATGGTTGAATTTGGTAGGGAATATGCCCTGTATTCCCCTGCTTTATAATTTAGACCCCAGAGTCCACTGCGCATTCCTCCCTTCCTCGGGACAGTCTCTGTAACCACACCCAGGGTCCAGCCTACACTGTCCCCAACCTCAACATCCCAGATGTGTGTCCCTGAGTTAAAGCCCTCAGAGCCCAGGACCATTCTATTGTTATCAAACCTCTCTGGGTTGTCAGGATGCTTCTGCGTCCCATCACCAAGTCTCACAGTGGTCAGATCATCAGACAAGATGAGAGATGGGTGGGCAGTCTTGGGGTCCAGAGTCACAGCAGCTAAACAGAGAGAACAGAGATTCTATAGGAGGTTTTCAAACAGAAAATGTTGGGCTTAGGCCAGGGCCAAGCAACGTTTCACACTTGCATCAAGTAGCATTATGTATTAACTATGGTTAGTAACTGAACATCTTGTCAATTGCAACAATACAATTATACTCACTGTAGTGAGCAAACACTTGAACAATGTCCTGCATCTTCCCACAAAATCTGTGCAGGTTGTCAAGGTGCTTAGCCACATGGATCAGTGTTCCTGAAACCCTCTTCGGATCCGGCAGTGTGCACTGGGCTCTGGAAGAATATTCAGGAGTCAGTTCAACTGTGGGGTTGGGTTAAGAATAACCTTGGCACCCTAGGTTAGGAACCACAGAGAAGAGAGAGCGAAGAGGCAGATCACTTACCTTTTCACTGTGACCTTGTAGTTCTGCAGAATAATAAAATACCAAATTAATAATAAAGGATGATAACACATGACATGTAATCCAGCCTGGCCTCAGAGCCAATACGTATGATATGTTACAAATGATTGGGTTACTTAAAACAGACACGAAAGTAGCATTTTATCTGATTAGCACCTATTGCTAACTACAACCATAGCGTTTTACAACTATGAAGCATGTTATCTAACCCTCAACCCCTAACCCTTACAACTAACTTTAGCGACAAATGCTAAAGCAACAGTGACTGTTGTTTAAGACGTATGATACTGTATCATACGAATTGGAAGGATGTAACAAATAATACGTATTGGAGGGACCCCAAAATAACGTGCCAAATCCTACATGTGGGTGTGAGATGACGTGAAATCAGTTCATCAATAAACGTATCTCAAATAATTTCTGCTTATTATTGAGTTATTGTTTTTCACCTGAAGGAATGTGACGTCTTCTGCTTTCAGCTCCTCCTCTACTGCTTTGATTGTGTCTGAAAGTGATGATAACCCTCCGATCATCTCCTCAATCTTCTTCTTCATCATCTGACTCTTCTGCTCCTCTTCTTCCTTCAGAGTAGCTAATCTGGCTACCTCGTCCTCTCGAAGCAACTGGTGAAGCTTCTCAAACTCCTCCTTAATCTGCCTTTCTGTGTCCTCTGCTTGTAGCTGCAGACAGTGAGAGGAATATGTGAAATATTATTATTACCACAGCAATTCTCACAATCAATCCACAAATGCACAAAGGCATTCAGGTACAGTTCAACTGCACTGTAGCATTAGACAACATAAGTCCACATTCTCACCTTAATATGGGTTGCTGTTTGATGGCAGGTTAGTTTCACCCTATGGAAGATCTCAAACTTCTTCTGTAAGGGCTTCAATGAAGTCTTGAGTTCCTCCTGGAATTGAAAATTGACACTGCATTGAAGAGAGTCAACCAGATTTTATTACTTTGTATGAATCAGATTACTGATTATTAGTGTGTAGTTACTTTCAACGGCATAAAACGTGTCATAAGAACCTAGAACAAACATGAAATATCCACCTACAGGAGTGGGGAATGAAACACTCACCAATTCTACCATACAAACATGCTGTCCATAAGGACACCGGAGTTTGTAGGTATGATGGGAAATTAAGCACTAACATTGCTTTATCTGCTGGTGTAAAATGTCAGCAAAATTATGTTGTGGTAATGTTATTATAAGACCTCTACCTTAAAATCCTGTGCAGCTTCATCCATGGGACAGAACTTGTGGTTTGCATGTTTTTTAGAGGTATGACACACAAAACACACTGGCTGTTTATCATTCAGACAGAAGAGTTTGAGTTTTTCGTGGTGCAGACTGCATAGCCCTTCAGATCCTGCTGAATCTCTCTGACTCTTCCCCTCTGAGAAGGCCTCACACAGTTTCTTTAAAATTAGGTTACAATGAGGTTCTTCCGTTGAGGATATTCTACTGCAAACTGGACATTCCAGAGATTCCTTTTGTTTCCAGAATTTTTTGAGACAGACTTTACAAAAGCTGTGGCTACATGACAGGATTACAGGATCCTGGAAGATGTCACTGCACACTGGACAGAAGAAATCCTCTTCTTGGAGAGAATGTTTGGAAGCCATTTTCTTTAAGAAATCCCTGTCACGATCTTCTGTAATGACTTCTGAAGGGAGCAGTATACTTCAGTTTTGTTTAGTCAGATGTGCTTTCAAAATCTCAGGATGCAGTTTGCTCCTGCTCTTCGGAGTTGCTTTCTTGTAGTTGTAGAAACGTTGTCCTATATCGTATCCTATGTCAAACACAGCAGGTAAATTACACCTGTAGCTGATACAAGCTGAATACTACAGTGTGAGGGACTTTACCCAGGACAGAGTTATAAAAAGCCAGTCTCATACACAAACACACACAAAGGTGTGTTATCAATTTCCGTATTAGCCAGTCAGCTGATCCTCTGTCCTCTGCAACTCCTTATTTACACAAGAGCCAATGTTTTTTTCTCCTCATAAATCCCAGCTTTAACAAATCCATTCATACTGACCACATAAAAAATAAGCACAGTTTGTGGGCCTAGTTAGGTGCCAACAATTATTTTTTTAATGGATATTCCTCTTTGGTTGAGCACTATAGTAATTATTGGTGACTCTGGCCTGACCCTGACCCTGGGCCTTGACTCTCTATCTCCCTCTGCAGGCTGTAACCACTTACCTACAACACCAGGTCAAACTGGAAAACGTTGCCCCCTATAGCGGAAAATAATGCCGCCTATAGTGAGATTGATTGTCTATTCGAACAATTTTAAAGTAAATGCTACAGCCCACCTTTAGTGGAAAACAAAAAAAACGCGCTGCTCATGCGAGCGGTTTCATTTAGAAAGGGGAGAAAACTAATATGACTATTGTGCCTTTGGCTACTGGACAATGAAATAAAGTTGAATCCCAACAGAACATGAGATAAATTCTGGTTTCAATGGCATATAAGGAAGTGTTTATAAAATAAATATGGTCGGATTTTTCCTAGGCTACTTTGAAACAAGGTAAGACTTCGCTCATAAAATGACAAAAAACATCCAGGTTTTTTATTTATTTATGGTTAAATGCTGTCTGCCTCTGCTCAGATTGCAAGGTGGGTGATGTTAATGTTAATTATCCTACATTATATTTGTCAAACATGACTGGCGTTTTACCTATATATGTAATTAAAAAGTCTGGCTACATTTTCTATCACCTCCCTTATGTCAGCGTCGGTGTGGTATGGACATGAAAGGCTGTAGCTAATACGCATAGTCTATCACTTACACTTTGACATGGAGGCTAATTATTTATGTACATTTACTTCGCTTGTGTTTTTCTTAACAGAATAGCTAGTGTTTTTTGGTTTTCTAATCAATTTAATTGGCTATTTTGGTTAATGGCCTTGGTGCCCTGGCAGATGGCCTTGGTGCCCTAGCAGATTGGGCATCTCTTGAAGGCCAAATGGTCGTGCCCTTAAAATCAGGAAATTCCAGGGCTGCCCGGATCATATCCCAGTCTGTACTAGCAAAACAGTCTTGGAGCTTCACGTCTGCTTCATCGGACCACTTCCGTACTGAGAGAGCGTCACTGGTACCTCCTGTTTTAGCTTTTGTTTGTAATCAGGAAGTAGGAGGATAGAGTCTTGGTCTGATTTGCCGGAGGGAGGGCGAGGGAGGACCTTGTATGTTTTTCTGTGGGTAGAATAAAAGTGGTCCAGAGTTTTTGGTGCCCCTTGTGGCGCATGGAGACATGTTGGTAGACGTTAGGTAGAACGGATCTTAGTCTTCCCACACCTCTGGGTTGTGCGGTTTCTTGTTTGTTTACGGCCCCATACAATTTGTTGAGTGACAGGTGGTGTTGGCTTGTGGTGGGATGTAGACAGCAGTGATAATTACGGATGAGAACTACCTTGGTAGATAAAAAGGTCTACAGCTTACCATGAGGTATTTTATGTCAGGTGAGCAAAAGCTTGATATTTCCTTCTCACTGGAAGTAGCGCACCAGTTGTTGTTTCCAAAGAGGCACACCCCTCCCCATTTGGACTTGTCCGAAGCCGCCATCCGATCGTGATGCTGCATGGAGAAACCACTGAGTTGTATATCCATAGATTCAGTCAGCTAAGACTCTGTAAAGCATAGAATATTGCAGCTTTCAAGTCTCTTTGTTAGGAGACTCCCGAACAAAGCTCATCCATCTTATTCTCAAGTGACTGGACATTTGTCAATAGAACGGAGGGGAGTGCCAGTCAATTTTCTCTCCGTCACCAGGATGCCAGCCCGTCTTCTGCATCTACGACTATGGCGCGCTTAGGTATCCCAAACAATGGGGTAGGATCCGGTGTAAGTTTGTACTTCAGTAAGATCACAGGATGGACCACCGCCAGGTAGCACTCCACACAGATACAGGACTGGAATACGGGTCAGTGTAGATGAGACGGGAAGAAAACGTAGTCATGTATCGAAGAACATGTCCCAGGACATATTGGTCCAGATAGTACAAGGCCGCTCAGAGACAGTAGAGGATTTCAGACACGGACAGGTTGAGAGCGGAGAAGTCCTGAGGCCACCAGACCTTCCCCTCCGGTCACTATTAGCCACAGGAAATATACATTGTTTGGGACACTTAGAATGATGTTGGCTACTGCAGGCACAAGGTAGAGCAAAGTGATTTCTGCAAAAGCAGGATCCAAAGGGACGGGTGAAAGCAGTAGTGAAGTTATTTGCAGTGGAAGTATTAATTTCCTTGATACCGTATGTCAGTGGTTTCAGTGGATTTGATATGTCAGTGGTTTCAAAGAGACAAAATAAAAATAATAGTCAGGAACTTCCGTTGTAGAGGGAGCAGTTTGGGTACCGGATAACCAAAACCTAAAAATAAAATGTTTAGTTCATTTCCCAAAGTTACTGCATCAGACTGGAATTTACATCAACCCTTCATACCATACAAAAGAGACCATAATGTTTGAAATCCAAAAATTAGAAATTTCTCAAATACAAAGTTTTCAGTCTAAAAGAACACTTCATTACATCTGTGATGGTTGCTAACAATTGTTACAATTGTCTAACTTATAAAAAGCCATACCTTGGTTGAAGGAGTTCTGTTTGCATTCATGGGGTGGATGTTGTGTGTGAGTCTGAAGAATCAGTGCTTGATAAATCTAAACCTCTGAAAAATGTGTTTACGGAACAAACAAACACAGCCCATCATCTGGAGCACGGTATGCAAATGTAGAGGAAAATTAGCACTCATCCCCGGTTAAAGGGAGCGGATTATTTTGATCTTGGAAGGAACACGACAGTGTATAGGAGTGCATCACGAATAAGACGGTTTATTTTAACATTGAAAGAGGAGACAACATGGCTGTTCCCAGAGATCTCTCCATCTGCCCGCTCAAAGGGTAGCAGTATTATTACACAGGCCATCCACCAACGAGGACCGTCAATTAAGATGTTATTAACCAATAAGGAGGATGCATTATGTGATCGTGCACTGAACAAGTGCATGCACCTTTAAACAGATGCAACGTGTGCATAAAAACAGTTTGCTGTCTATTCTGTCATTCAGAACACTCATGACCACTCTCATCAGTCCATTATGACATTTTACATTCTGTACACACTCAGGTTGTACATTGTCTAGCTCAGGACTCTCCAACCCTGTTCCTGGAGAGCTACCATCCTGTAGGTTTTCGCTCCAACCCTAATCTAGCGCACCTGATTCTAATAATTAGCTGACTGTATACAAAGGTGTTTAGCAGACAACTTTTTTCTGCTCACTGCATAGTCAGTTGCGTGAAAAAGGCTTGATTTATATCTCTTGCGGTGCAATGCAACTGAGTTGCAGGCAATGTTTTGGGAGTGACATAAGGAGCAACCCAGATGCAACTTTGTTGCAAGCAACTGAAACTGCATCCAGATTGTTTCGTGTGACATCATCTTAAGGGCTGCTTCAATGTAGTCTTGAGTTCCTCCACAGACTTAAATTTGAGGAAAGTCTCTCTATTCCTGCTTTTATTACTTTTGATATTTATATTGCTGTAAAATGTATATGTTTCAGCAAAATTTGGTTGTAGTCATAGATTTATTACCGGTATGTCTTACACGAGTGGGCTTTGCTTCTACTTTATAATCCTGTGCAGCTTCATCTATGGGACAGAACTTGTGGTTTGCTTGTTTTTGGTAAAAAGTTTGACACAACTCACAGGCTGTTTATCATTCGGGCAGTACAGTTTGAGATTTTCTCTGTGTAGAATGCAGAGCACCTCAGACCCTGCTGAAGCTCTCTGACTCCTCTCCTGTGAGAAAGCCTCATACAGGTTCTTTAAAATCAGATTACAAGGAGGTTGTCCTGTTGAAGACATTCTCCTACAAATGGGACTGTCCAGAATTCATTGAGACAGGCTTTACAGAAGCTATGGCTACACGACAGGAAGACAGGATCCATGAAGATGTCACAGCACACAGGACAGGATAAATCATTTTCTTGGAGAGAATGTTTGGACGACAAAATAATCCCTGTCACGGTCTTCTGTAAAGGCTACTTGAGTTTACTTTAGTCAGATGTGCTTTCAAATCTCATCATTGATGCCGTTTACTCCTGCTCTTCGGAGTTGATTTCATGTAGTCGTATAAAGTTGGAGTACGTTTGAGTCCTTTATCGTATTTTATGTCGAACATAGCAGGTAGATTACACCTGTAGCTGATACAAGATTAATGTTACAGTGTGAGCCGATGGACTTTACCCAGGACACTTGTCACATTAGTCACAGTCACATGAATTGTTAAGTATTTTACAGTGCATTCGGAAAGTATTCAGACCCCTTGACTTTTTCCACATTTTGTTACGTTACAGCCTTATTCTAAAATTGATTAAATCGTTTTTTCCCCCCTCATCAATCTACACATAATACCCCATAATGACAAAGCAAAAACAGGTTTTTGCAAATTTATAATTTCAAAAAAAACTGAAACATCACGTTTACATAAGTATTCAGACCCTTTACTCAGTACTTTGTTGAATCACTTTTGGCAGCGATTACAGCCTTGAGTCTTCTTGGGTATGACACTACAAGCTTGGCACACCTGTATTTGGGGAGTTTCTCCCATTCTTCTCTGCAGATCCTCTCAAGCTCTGTCAGGTTGGATGGGGAGTGTCGCTGCACAGCTATTTTCAGGTCTCTCCAGAGATGTTCAATCGGGTTCATCCGGGCTCTAGCTGGGCCACTCAAGGACATTCAAAGACTTGTCCTGAAGCCACTCCTGCGTGTGCTTACGGTCGTTGTCCTATTGGAAGGTGAACCTTCGCCCCAGTCTGAGGTCATGAGCGCTCTGGAGCAGGTTTTCATCAAGGATCTCTCTGTACTTTGCTTCGTTCATCTTTCCCTCGATCCTGACTAGTTTCCCAGTCCCTGCCACTGAAAAACATCCCCACAGCATGGTGCTGCCACCACCATGCTTCACCGTAGGGATGGTGCCATGTTTACTCCAGACGTGACGCTTGGCATTCAGGCCAAAGAGTTCAATCTTGGTTTCATCAGTACAGAGAATCTTGTTTCTCATGGTCTGAGAGTCTTTAGGTGCCTTTTGGCAAAACTCCAAGCGGGCTGTCATGTGCCTTTTATTGAGGAGTGGCTTCCGTCTGGCCACTCCAGCATAAAGGCCTGATTGGTGGAGTGCTGCAGAGATGGTTGTCCTTCTGGAAGGTTCTCCCATCTCCACAGAGGAACTCTGGAGCTCTGTCAGAGTGACCAACAGGTTCTTGGTCACCTCCCTGATCAAGGCCCTTCCCCCCCGATTGCTCAGTTTGGCCTGGCGGCCAGCTCTAGGAAGAGTCTTGGTGGTTCCAAACTTCTTCAATTTAAGAATGATGGAGGCCACTGCGTTCTTGGGGACCTTCAATGCTGCAGACATTTTTTGGTACCCTTCCCCAGATCTGTGCCTCGACACAATCCTGTCTTGGAGCTCTACGGACAATTCCTTCAACCTCATGGCTTGGTTTTTGCTCTGACATGCACTGTCAACTGTGGGACCTTCTTAGACAGGTGTGTGCCTTTCCAAATCATGTCCAATCAATTGAATTTACCCCAGGTGGACTCCAATCAAGTTGTAGAAACATCTCAAGGATGATTAATGGAAACAGGATGCATCTGAGCTCAATTTCGAGTCTCATAGCGAAGGGTCTGAATAATTATGTAAATAAGATCGTTTTTATAATTTTTTTAATTTGCAAGGAATTTCTAAAAACCTGTTTTCGCTTTGTCAGTATGGGTTATTGTGTATAGATTGATGAGGATTAAAAAAAAATCAATTTTAGAGTAAGGCTGTAACGTAACAAAATGTGTAAAAAGTCAAGGGGTCTGATTACTTTCCGAATGCACTGTATGTCTTGATGACTTATCACTGGCCATAACCCTCCCCCAACTCTCTCTCTCTCTCTTACACACACACTTAAAGCATTAAAGCACACATATTATGGGACTTTCCAGTCAGAACATACTTTTCTGTCAATGTGAAAAGATGCAATTAACAAGTCTTTGTTTCTCACAATTCCCAGCTTTAACAAATCCATTCATACTGCCCATATAAAACAGAAGTATAGTTTGTGGGCCTAATTATACCCAAATATGTATTATTTACAGAATATTCCTCTCTGGTTGAGCATTATATTACTTGTGACCTAGGCCTGACCCTGGCTTGTGACTCTCTAGCCCCCTCTACAGGCTGTATACAACTTCAGCCGCAATATTATAGCCAGGGCCAAGAAAGCAATGCCATCATGTACATGCAGCAAAACCACACTTGCAGCAGAGCTAGCTGGCTAGCTAAGCTATTAGAACGAAAAGGACGGCGATTAGAACGTTATGCCTGCTATGTCATGTAGAAACCGAGATAGATTATTCTTCTGCATTTAGGAACCTTCTTGTGGGATTGCCTTTTTGGGTTAAATTTAGCTAACTAGCCAACAGCCAGCATTACTATGCTAGCGTTAGCTGGCTAGCTAGCTAGTAGCTAGCTAGTGACTTTTGCTTGTTAGGACAAATATCAACACCCTCAGCTCGCTGTTGAAAATAGAAGCGAGGACGACAAATAAATATCTATTATCGGTGTTAGTATTTGTAAGCAAGCTACGTAGGAAAAAACAACGAAGGGAAAAGCTAGCTGCCATGCTGCTCTGTTCAGCTAAGCTAGCTAATTAATTAGCGTGTTTGGTAGCTAGCAATGTCTCTTTCTTTTAGCTAGCATTTCGGCTTGCATGTTATTGCAATTCCACGTTGTAAATGTCGGTTGTCAAAGTTGCTACTGAATTGTATTACCGAAGCACGAGTAACTAGCCACATCTTTTAAGGGGTGTAATCGGCACACGCTTGTACTGGATAAGAACTCTGGTTTTGCCTATTTCTTTTAAGTGGTCCTATGGTGTAATGGTTAGCACTCTGGACTTTGAATCCAGCGATCCGAGTTCAAATCTCGGTAGGACCTCGTCCTTTTGATTTAAAATATCCTTAGAATTTACAAATTGCCCATATTATTGACAGTAAAATTATCGGTAGTTATATCTCAGATATGCATAAATCAGCATGGATAAATGTGGATTTGTAGTCTCCTGTCAAAAGGTGAAATACAACAGGTGGTGAGGGCCTATCACCATAGATCAGGGTTCCCCAACTGGCCTGAGTGGTTTTATTTGGCCCCCCAAGTTTCCTGAGCAAAAAAACCTCCACATTTATTTTAATTGTTGGTCTGTAAAACACCAGGAAATCAGCTCCAATTGATTTTAATTTAAGAAATTTGTTCCCAAGTATTCCCACGCATAATAGAGAGACACGTGGTCGTATATAAACGTAAGCAAGGTTTGAAATGATTATATTTTAGTCAAACATATCTGTTTGGGCTTCTTGTGGTCAATTTGTAGTCTCTAAATTATTTGTAATTATGTTCCAGCCCCCGTCCATCCGCTCAAGAAACAATAGGCCTGCGGCTGAATCTAGTTGATGATCCCTGCCATAGATACAGTGCCTTCAGAAAGTATTCATACCCATTTTAGTCATTTAGCAGACGCTCTGATCCAGAGCGACTTACAGTTAGTGAGTGCATACCCCTTGATTTATTCCACATTTTGTTGTGTTACAGCCTGGATTAAATTGATATTTTTTAAACACAATACCCCATCTACACACAATATCTCATAGTGATTAAAGTAAAAAAAAAACACATGTTTTAAGAAATCTTAGCAAATTTATTGAAAATGAAATACAGAAATATCTAATTTATGTAAATATTTTACACCCCTAGTCAATACATGTTAGAATCACCTTTGGCAGCGATTACAGCTGTGAGTCTATAAGAACTTTGCACATCTGGATTGTACAATATTTGCACATTATTATTCTTTTGTAATTCTTCAAGCTGTCAAGTTGATTGTTGATCATTGCTTGACAGCCATTTTCAAGTCTTGCCATACATTTTCAAGCTGATTTAAGTCAAAACTGTAACTAGGACACTCGGGAACATTCAATGTCATTTTGGTAAGCAATTCCAGTGTATATTTGGCCTTGTTTTAGGTTATTGTCCTGCTGAAAGGTTAATTTGTCTCTGTGTCTGTTGGAAAGCAGACTGAACCAGGTTTTCCTCTAGGATCTCGTCTGTGCTTAGCTCTATTCCGTAGTTTTATTATCCAAAAAAACTCCCTAGTATTGATACACCATCCAATAGGTGTCCTTCTTTGCAAGGCATTGGAAAACCTCTCTGGTCTTTGTGGTTGAATCTGTGTATGAAATTCATTGCTTGACTGAGGGGCCTTATAGATAATTGTATGTGTGGGGTACAGAGATGAGGTGTTCATTCAAAAATAATGTTAAACACTATTATTGCACACAGAGTGAGTCCATGCAACTTATTACGTGACCTGTTAAGCAAATATGTACTCCTGAACTTATTTAGGCTTTCCATAACAAAGGGGTTGAATACTAATTGACAAGACATTTCAGCTTTTCTTTTCATTTTTTTATAGATTTTGTAAAAATTCTGAAAAACTTAATTCCACTTTGACATTATGGGGTTTGTGTGTAGGCCAGTGACAAAAACATCTCAATTTAATCCATTTGAAATTCAGGCTGTAGCAACAAAATGTTGAAAAATTCCAGGGGTGTGAATACTTTCTGAAGGCACTGTAAATGGTCTACCACCACTAAACATAGGTGTATTATGCCTGGCATGTTTTTACTGGTTCTAAAGGCCTATTAGAATTAGGATGGATCCAATAAAATCCCTTGGAAATATCACAACATTTTTGGGAGGTAATTGCAATTAAGGCAGACAGAACACATTTTTTCCCCAACCCTTTATTTACTAAATGTTCTGTTAAAAATATAAATGTTTTTATTACACTGCTTTGTTATAAACTTTTTCAGAGACTGAAAATATATTATTTCTGTCATAAACGCCATATGAAAAATACAAACAATAAGTAATTAATCTAAATACTGCACTGTTTTTGTCATATAAAACACTCAATAACAACAAAACAGCACAAACGAGTATACAAGAATCAAGCCTCAATAATACAGTATTCCTTTACAAAACAAAATATGAGTGCTTGGTTGTCTTTGGCTTCAGTGGAATTTATGGCTATACAGCATGTTTGGTTTAATACAAAGCAAATTGCAGGCCCTGGAAATTGGAAAAAAAAGGAATTCGTACTCCTAAAGTGTTGATGGAAACCTTTTTTCTAATCTACTGTGATCTGACAATATAACCCAATAAAAATGAGATCATAAAACTCCTATTTTTTTTGCCCAAAGATAATCTCCAGTTCAATCTTTTCTGTCATGGTTTTCATTTATCTTGCTGTAGCCCATCCTTTGAAGGATGTTGAGCTATGACTCATTTTAAGTTACAGGGTTCACTCTCAGGTTGATTTCATTTACATACAGTATGAAATATATTTTGATATCATATGAAAAATACGTTTTAGGGGGAAAAACACGATTATTTTCTGATTCTCAATGCAAGACCCATATCACTTGGGACATGGTGAGCTACGCTCACAGTTATTAATTGGTACATTGAAGTGCATAACGTACATAAACATTGTGTAGGAAAGTTCTTATATGGTTTGGAAAATATGCTTTGGGATATTGTGTGTAAATTTAAACTGATTTCAAACGTCACAGTTCATCGTATCAATATAGCATTTAATCAACTCTTCAAATAGCTCTCCATGGGATCACTTGCTTTTACTCTCTTTGGCATGTCAGCCCAATGTAACCACCTCAGTACTGGCATGATAGAAAAAACAAAAAAAAGACCATGGTCATGTTCATTAGGGCACGCAAGGGAAAACATTTAAAAAAGGTTTCGCAACAGAAAATGAGCAAGTCCAGGTTATCCTTTGTTTCAGTACGTTTCGTACATAATGAACACGACCCAGGATATGCTGCCATTCCAGTTTAACTGTAAATGCAATAAAATGACTCCCAATCCGATTCCATTTCTGACATTCCATTACACTCACACATACATTTACTGTATAACCACCTTCTGTGCTGTTTTGTCCAACTCGTCAAAGAGGTTGACTATACAGAAATTGGGTAACATAATACTGACCAATAAAAAGTGATTTTCCATATCTGCTTGTGTGCAAACTGGGTAGTCATTGACATTGTATAGGCTTTTTATAAGGCTTGCCTATTTACAATTACACATACATAGTAATAAACAATATGATTAAATGAAAGGTGATGGCAAACAGTACTGAATGGACAAAAAATATATAATAGAAATCTCACCCAGCAGAGGTGGTGTTAATTGACTCACTCAACCGTAGAGGAAAAGCTTAACGCTATCACCTCAAAATATGTTCTCTAACCTTTCTAATGTACCGTCCAGATGGACATAATTCCTGTTCAATCCGGTTCCTCTCTTGGATCAGCGGACAGCTATCTTCAAACATGCACACACACACACAAACCAATTTGCAGACCCACACCCACCACTTTGTACACACAAACACACCGACCAATTTGCAGACACACATACCCACCAATTATCGCCCACCCAAACCCACCAATTTTCACATTGTGACCCACACACTGTTATCCCCTGTTGTGGCCCTTGCTCTGGGGACCCTAGCTCATCTGCGTTGCTGCTGGGGCCCCAGCATGACCTTGTTGATAAAGTTGACGATGGCCACAGCTGGCTGCTCCGGGTCCATCTCAGCAAACAGGTGACACACGTTCTCCGATGTGCTGCCCGTCCGCCTGGCCACAAAACCAAACACCCTACAGGAGAGAGGGATGATGGGGGTGGTGGGGGGGGGGGGGGGGGGGGGGGGGGGGGGGTGTGAGAGGAGGTGATGAAGGGGACCAGAAAAAGGATGGAGTGGGAGATTAGATTAACAGACGGGTGAATCAAAGAGAATAGGTTTTGTGGTTGTTGTTTTTAGATCTATGAATGTAGAAAATAGTTCATTTTTCAGTGCGCTCAGTGTGTTCTTCTAATGAGAATCACAGATACAGTGCCTTGCAAAAGTATTCATCCCCCTTGGCGTTTTTCCTATTTTGTTGCATTACAACCTGTAATTTAAATGGATTTTTATTTGGATTTCATGTAATGGACATACACAAAATAGTCCAAATTGGTGAAGTGAAATGAAAAAAATTACTTGTTTAAAAAAATTACACAAAATAAATAACGGAAAAGTGGTGCGTGCATATGTATTCACCCCCTTTGCTATGAAGCCCCTAAATAAGATCTGGTGCAACCAATTACCTCCAGAAGTCACATAATTAGTTAAATAAAGTTGACATGTGTGCAATCTAAGTGTCACATGATCTCAGTATATATATATATATATATATATATATATATACACCTGTTCTGAAAGGCCCCAGAGTCTGCAACACCACTAAGCAAGGGGCACCACCAAGCAAGCGGCACCATGAAGACCAAGGAGCTCTCCAAACAGGTCAGGGACAAAGTTGTGGAGAAGTACAGATCAGGGTTGGGTTATAAAAAAAATAAACATCCCACGGAGCACCATTAAATCCATTATAAAAAATTGAAAGAATTTGGCACCACAGCAAACCTGCCAAGAGAGGGCCGCCCACCAAAACTCACAGACCAGGCAAGAAGGGCATTAATCAGAGAGGCAACAAAGAGACCAAAGATAACCCTGAAGGAGCTGCAAAGCTCCACAGCAGAGATTGGAGTATCTGTCCATAGGACAACTTTAAGCCATACACTCCACAGAGCTGGGCTTTACGGAAGAGTGGCCAGAAAAAAAGCCATTGCTTAAAGAAAAAAATAAGCAAACACGTTTGGTCTTCACCAAAAGGCATGTGGGAGACTCCCAAAACATATGGAAGAAGGTACTCTGGTCAGATGAGACTAAAATTGAGCTTTTTGGCCATCAAGGAAAACGCTATGTCTGGCGCAAACCCAACACCTCCCATCACCCCGAGAACACCATGTTTTTCATCGGCAGGGACTGGGAAACCGGTCAGAATTCAAGGAATGATGGATGGCGCTAAATACAGGGAAATTCTTGAGGGAAACCTGTTTCAGTCTTCCAGAGATTTGAGACTGGGACAGAGGTTCACCTTCCAGCAGGACAATGACCCTAAGCATACTGCTAAAGCAACACTTGAGTGGTTTAAGGGGCTCTACAAAGTATTGACTTTGGGGGGGTGAATAGTTAAGCATGCTCAAGTTCTGTTTTTTTTGGTCTTATTTCTTGTTTGTTGTTTGTTTCACAAGAAAAAATATTTTGCATCTTCAAAGTGGTAGGCATGTTGTGTAAATCAAATGATACAACCCACCCCCCAAAAAATCTATTTTAATTCCAGGTTGTAAGGCAACAAAATAGGAAAATGCCAAGGGGGGTGAATACTTTCGCAAGCCACTGTATGAGAAGAAACATCACTTGACTTATATTAACTTATCTTTTAAGGATCATTAAATGTAAGAATCAATTTGATAAAAGTAATATTTTATAAAAGAGGAGTACAGTATGATAAATTGCCATGCACACACATAATGCTATCCACACACACAGACACAAGCAGAGACACACACAAGCACTTACTTGCTTGACTTATCAGAATTAGTCCACCTGAAGCAGACAGACAGGCAGACAGACAGGGACATAAAGACAAGGCTTAGAGAATCACATGAAGGATGAGACAGATAGAGCTTCTCAAATAGACCAAGAAGAGCAGTCATACAGTCACAGCTGTTGTACTATAGTTGCACACTACACAAAGAGGTTTATACTGTACCAGTATTTAGAAACATTCAACCTTCTAGCTGTAACAGTGTTCAGCCATAATAGTGCAATACAGGGTTAATACAGTTATTAACCCTACCACATTTAGCCACAACAGGGTTGGGATCAATTCGATTTGAAATAACATTGAACGAGATGAATTGACCCCAACCCTAAACCACAATGCAATATATGTGTACCAAATGAAGCAGTGTTTAGCAATGACAAAACACAAGGTCAACATCACTACATAGTTAAAGACCCTTATGGTCTGTATTTGCTCAACACATAATTTTTCACTGTTCATTCGGTGGTATTCACATAGAAACACGGTCTGTGACAGTGGTTGCATATTGACATAAAGCTAGAGTGTCAGAACCTATCGTTCCATGTGTTGTCTAAAGGTTACTCTAACGTTTGCCTGACGTTGGGCCCACCTCTGGTCCTGAGGATCCACGCTGCTGAAGGTCACACTGTTGATGGGGTAGTGTCTCCTGAAAAAGAGTCTGAGGAAAAGATAGGAGAGGATGAAAGGTGGGTAAAAGGAGACGGGGAAAAAACAGTCAGAGGATGATAGTGTGTATCCCTAAACAAAAAGATAGCTCTACTGAGGTTTAAGTTCCATTAAAAATAAAGAATATAAGAATTTGGTTAGTTATGAGAATAGGTGCCAGCAATGATAAACATAAGTTATTCTGTAGACTCAAAGAATGATACAAAAATTTCATGTAAAAGTATATTGATACTGTATATTTAAAATCCCTTCAAATAGTTTTAACTTTTAAAAAGTTGGATAAGATTTGAAACACTGGAATCAAGACATCTATCTACAGTGGGGAAAAAAAGTATTTAGTCAGCCACCAATTGTGCAAGTTCTCCCACTTAAAAAGATGAGAGAGGCCTGTAATTTGCATCATAGGTACACGTCAACTATGACAGACAAATTGAGAAAAAAAAATCCAGAAAATCACATTGTAGGATTTTTAATGAATTTATTTGCAAATTATGGTGGAAAATAAGTATTTGGTCACCTACAAACAAGCAAGATTTCTGTCTCTCACAGACCTGTAACTTCTTCTTTAAGAGGCTCCTCTGTCCTCCACTCGTTACCTGTATTAATGGCACCTGTTTGAACTTGTTATCAGTATAAAAAGACACCTGTCCACAACCTCAAACAGTCACACTCCAAACTCCACTATGGCCAAGACCAAAGAGCTGTCAAAGGACACCAGAAACAAAATTGTAGACCTGCACCAGGCTGGGAAGACTGAATCTGCAATAGGTAAGCAGCTTGGTTTGAAGAAATCAACTCTGGGAGCAATTATTAGGAAATGGAAGACACACAAGACCACTGATAATCTCCCTCGATCTGGGGCTCCACGCAAGATCTCACCCCGTGGGGTCAAAATGATCACAAGAACGGTGAGCAAAAATCAGAGAACCACACGGGGGGACCTAGTAAATGACCTGCAGAGAGCTGGGACCAAAGTAACAAAGCCTACTATCAGTAACACACTACGCCGCCAGGGACTCAAATCCTGCAGTGCCAGCCAGTACATGTCCAGGCCCGTCTGAAGTTTGCTAGAGTGCATTTGGGTGATCCAGAAGAGGATTGGGAGAATGTCATATGGTCAGATGAAACCAAAATATAACTTTTTGGTAAAAACTCAACTCGTCGTGTTTGGAGGACAAAGAATGCTGAATTGCATCCAAAGAACACCATACCTACTGTGAAGCATGGGGGTGGAAACATCATGCTTTGGGGCTGTTTTTCTGCAAAGGGACCAGGACGACTGATCCGTGTAAAGGAAAGAATGAATGGGGCCATGTATCGTGAGATTTTGAGTGAAAACCTCCTTCCATCAGCAAGGGCATTGAAGATGAAACATGGCTGGGTCTTTCAGCATGACAATGATCCCAAACACACCGCCCGGGCAACGAAGGAGTGGCTTCGTAAGAAGCATTTCAAGGTCCTGGAGTGGCCTAGCCAGTCTCCAGATCTCAACCCCATAGAAAATCTTTGGAGGGAGTTGAAAGTCCGTGTTGTCCAGCGACAGCCCCAAAACATCACTGCTCTAGAGGAGATCTGCATGGAGGAATGGGCCAAAATACCAGCAACAGTGTGTGAAAACCTTGTGAAGACTTACAGAAAACGTTTGACCTGTGTCATTGCCAACAAAGGGTATATAACAAAGTATTGAGAAACTTTTGTTATTGACCAAATACTTATTTTCCACCATAATTTGCAAATAAATTCATAAAAAATCCTACAATGTGATTTTCTGGATTTTTTTTCTCATTTTGTCTGTCATAGTTGACGTGTACCTATGATGAAAATTACAGGCCTCTCTCATCTTTTTAAGTGGGAGAACTTGCACAATTGGTGGCTGACTAAATACTTTTTTTCCCCACTGTACATATGATAGCCATAGGAACTGGAATGGCGCTGGAGGGAATAGCGACCGTTTTACAGGCTCCTGACCAATTGTGCTATTTTGTGTATTTATTTTGTGCTGATCTGAACCTTTTTTTGTACATAATGTTTCCACCATCAAAACCACAAACCGATGCTGGCACCAAGACCGCACTCAATGAGCTGTATAGGGCCAGAAGCAAAGAAGAAAATGCTCACCCAGAGGTGGCGCTCCTCACAATCAAATGCCGACCGTATTATCTCCCAAGATAATTTTCTTCGGTTATAGTCACGGCCTTGTATATCCCCCCTCAAGCCGATACCCTGACGGCCCTCAAAGAACTTCACTGGACTTTATGCAAACTGGAAACCACATATCCCGAGGCTGCATTTATTGTAGCCGGGGATTTTAACAAACCAAATTTGAGGACTAGGCTGCCGAAGTTCATCAACATATCGACTGTTGTACTCGGGCTGCCAAAATCCTCGACCATTGCTATTCGAACTTCCGGGATGGTTATAAGGCCCTCCCCCGCCCTTCTTTCGGCAAATCTGACCACGACTCCATTTTGCTCCTCCCTTCCTATAGGCAGTATATACCCGTGCTAAGGACTATTCAACGCTGTTCTGACCAATCGGAATCCACGCTTCAAGATTGTTTTGATCACACGGACTGGGATATGTTCCGGGTAGCTTCCGAAAATAATTTAGACGAATACACTGAAACGGTGACTGAGTTTATCAGGAAGTGTATAGGTGATGTTGTGCCCACTGTGACTTTTAAAACCTACCCTAACCAGAAACCGTGGATAGATGGCAGAATTCGCGCCAATCTGAAAGCGCGAACCACCACATTCAACCATGGCAAGGTGACTGGGAATATGGCAGAATACAAACAGTGTAGCTACTCACTCCGCAAGGCAATTAAACTGGCAAAACATCAGTATAGAGACAAAGTGGAGTCGCAATTCAACGGCTTAGACACGAGACGTATGTGGCAGGATCTACAGACAATCACGGACTACAAAAGGAAAACCAGCCAGGTCGCCGACACCGACGTCTCGCTTCCAGACAAGCTAAACATCTCTTCGTTCGCTTTGAGGATAACACAGTGCCACTGACGAGGCCCACTACCAAGGACTGTGGCCTCTCCTTCTCCGTGGCCGACGTGATTAAGACATTTAAGCATGTTAACCCCCGCAAGGCTGCCGGCCCAGACGGCGTCCCTAGCCGCGTCCTCAGAGCATGGGCAGACCAGCTGGCTGGTGTGTTTATGGACATATTCAATCTCTCCCTTTCCCAGTCTGCTGTTCCCACATGCTTCAAGATGGCCACCATTGTTCCTGTAGCCAAGAAAGCAAAGGTAACTGAACTAAATGACTATCGCCTTGTAGCACTCACCTCTGTCATCATGAAGTGCTTTGAGAGACTAGTCAAGGATCATATCACCTCTACCTTACCTGTCACCCTAGACCCACTTCAATTGGACTGGTTCACCTTCCAGCAGGACAATGACCCTAAGCATACTGCTAAAGCAACACTCGAGTGGTTTAAGGGGAAACATTTAAATGTCTTGGAATGGCCTAGTCAGAGCCCAGACCTCAATCCAATTGAGAATCTGTGGTATGACTTAAAGATTGCTGTACACCAGCGGAACCCATCCAACTTGAAGGAGCTGGAGCAGTTTTGCCTTGAAGAATGGGCAATAATCGCAGTGGCTAGATGTGCCAAGCTTATAGAGACATACCCCAAGAGACTTGCAGCTGTAATTGCTGCAAAAGGTGGCTCTACAAAGTATTGACTTTGGGGGGGGTGAATAATTATCATTTCAGTAATTTAGCAGACGCTCTTTTCCAGAGTGACTTACAGTTAGTGAGTGCATACATTTTTTCATACTGGCCCCCCGTGGGAACAAAATAGGAAAAATGCCAAGGGGGGTAAATACTTTCGCAAGCCACTGTATACACTATATTTACAAAAGTATGTGGACACCCCTTCAAATTAGTGGATTCGGCTATTTCAGCAACTCCAGTTGCTGTCAGGTGTATAAAATCGAGCACACAGCCATGCAATCTCCATAGACAAACATTGGCAGTAGAATAGCCTTACTGAAGAGCTCAGTGACTTTCAATGTGGTACCGTCATAGGATGCCACCTTTCCAACAAGTCAGTTAATCATATTTCTGCCCTGTTAGAGCTGCCCCGGTCAACGGTAAGTGCTGTTATTTTGAAGTGGAAATGTCTAGGAGCAACAACAACTCAGGTGCGAAGTGGTAGGCCACACAAGCTCATAGAACGGGACCGCCGAGTGTTGAAGCGCATAGCACGTAAAAATCGTCTGTCCTCGGTTGCAACACTCACTACCGAGTTCCAAACTGCCTCTGGATTAACGTCAGCACAAGAACTGTTCGTCGGGAGCTTCATGAAATGGGTTTCCATGGCCGAGCAGCCTAAGATCACCATGCGCAATTCCAAGCATCGGCTGGAGTGGTGTAAAGCTCCCTGCCATTGGACTCTGGAGCAGTGGACACGCGTTCTCTGGCGTGATGAATCAAGCTTCACCATCTGGCAGTCGAACGGACGAATCTGGGTTTGGCGGATGCCAGGAGAACACTACCTGCCAGAATGCATAGTGCCAACTGTAAAGTTTGGTGGAGGAGGAATAATGGTCTGGGGCTGTTTTTCATGGTTCGTACTAGGCTCCTTAGTTCTAGTGAAGGGAGAACGCTACAGCGTACAGTGACATTCTAGATGATTCTGTGCTTCCAACTTTGTGGCAACAGTTTTGGGAAGGCCCTTTCCTGTTTCAGCATGACAGGTCCATACAGAAATGGTTTGTCGAGTTCGGTGTGGAAGAACTTGACTGTCCTGACCTCAACACCTTTGGGATGAATTGGAATGCCGCCTGCGAGCCAGGCCCAATTACCCAATATCATTGCCCAACCTCACTAATGCTGTTGTGGGTGAATGGAAGCAAGTCCCCGCAGCAATGTTCTAACATCTAGTGAAAAGCCTTCCCAGAAGAGTGGAGGCTGTTATAGCAGCAAAGAGGGGACCAACTCCATATTAATGCCCATGATTGTGGAATGAGATGTTTGACGAGCAAGTGTCCACATACTTCTGGTCATGTAGTGTATGTACATATCTACCTCAATTACTTCGTACCCCTGCACATGGACTCGGTACTGGTACACTGTGTATATAGCAAAGTTAGCGTTACTCATTGTGCATTTATTCCTTGTGTTATTCTTTTACTATTTTTCTATTATTTCAACAACAGGAAATCTCTGCATTGCTGGGTAAGTAAGCATTTCACTGTTATTCTACACCTTTTGTTTAGAAAGCATTTGATTTTGGATCTAAAACAGACTAGGTTAGGTGTAGGCCTAATCCTAACCCAGGTAGTACACACCTTCTCTGGCTGTCAGTCAGCGTGATGCCCTGAGTGGATACTTTGAAGTGGACCACAGAGGCGGTGGGCCGAGGACTCTGGGTCAGAGTGCACCTGGTCGCCTTGGAGACAGCCTGAGGCCCCGTCAGTGACTCTGTCTCCACAGAGTTCAAGTAGAGTACATTACAGGCTGGAGGGAGGGAGGGATGGAGAGAGAGAGGGAGGGAGGGAGGGATGGAGAGAGAGAGGGAGGGATGGATGGAGAGAGAGAGGGAGGGATAGAGAGAAAGAGAGGGGGATCGAGAGAGAGATGGAGTGAGGGAGAGGTGGTCAGGGAGGGAGGGAGGGAGGGAGGGAGGGAGGGAGATTTGGAATGATGGATTTCCATGGATTAACATGAGCAGTATTTAGAGATGGAATTGGGTCATGTCACACCTACACAAGGCAAACCTAACTTGAGATGATCTTGCCGAGCTTCATGCAATGATAGACAGTGAGTGTGGATTGATGTAAATGGGGTGACTATATTTGCTAAATCATGCTAGCATTCCACGATGTTTTCCTATCTCTCTGTGGTGATTCAGGTACCACTACTGGCCAAAGCCTGCATTGCAGCTGTATTTGACATTTCAAGTTTGAACTCTCTCTTACCTGCGCCCTGTTTGAGGAGGTCCGCTGCAGTACTGGTGTTGCTGGCACTATGAATCTCCTGCAGCTCTCCAACCAGATCTGGAACACAGTGACAACGTTAGGACAACATCTTCCCATGACTCACCTTTAAACCATGCAAACACTGTGTATATACACAACACAAACACACAACACACTCCCAATACACACTTCACATGCACCCCATACACTCTTTCTAATGTAAATATACATTGTATATTATGTAGTGCACATATATAGCCTATGCGCTATTGATACACACGTAGTATCTGCCGCATATTGTTCGATTAAAAGTAATGTATTTGAGGGATTTACCTTTCTCTGGGATGCACAGGGCACATGGCAGGGAGATAGGAGTGATGGAGTGCTGGTACACCAAGGCAGTTAAACTTCCTAAAACACAGACGCATATCAGATCAGCACAGGTGAAGGAGAGGAGGCGAGGAAGGGAAGTCACCATTTTCACACTACTGAGTCGAGTATAGTTGTACAGCGCTGGCCTGGTTACGCATCCACCATAGTTGCTGGAATTGTGCTGTGAAGACAATGTCAACTGAAAAATATCTGAGCCAGCACAGTAGGTCTACGGTTTGGGTCTGCGGTGTACGATAGTGTGAAAAGGGTATTAGAGCAATGATAGACGTAAATGTGAGGCCAACAGCGACATCTGAAGGACGGAAATAGGACTCACCGAAATAGGACTCGTTCTGACAGCCCTTTATCTTGACCCCCCGCGAGCCCGTCTCTATGAGGAAATGTCTGACCAGCTGCTCCTGAGAATCCACTGAGACAGACAGAGAAAAGGAGAGAGGAAGGGAGAGAGAGAGAGAGAACGAGAAGAGAGAGAGGTAGACCTCAATGAATGCTAGCTAGTTGTAGTTGCCATAGTATCAACAACAACTACGCTGGTCATAGTAGTGAACTGTTCATAAGTAGTGCACAACAGGCATTGCCAAATAAGAACGCTCACCCTTTCTTTAGCTTAATCTTCCAACAAAAATGAAATTATGATAAAGCAAAACAGTAAAGTTAGTAAACTGTTACATGAACCAAAACCATGGCCTTTGCCTTTTGGGAGCATAAATATTAATTGAATTGAATCTGTCACTGCCGTTACCTTTACTACAAGCGTTGTTGACGTTGTTTGAAGGATGGCTGGCCACCTTGAGGGCCAGGCCGTAGGCCCCTTGGAAGGAGCTACTGTCCCGGATCAGGAAGGACCCCGGCTCCTTGTCCTTCAACACAGCGATGGCTACATGGAGGGAGAAGAAACACGTATCATGGAAGAAATGAGTTACTAAGACTTTCATTTAGAAAATATACACTACAACAGTGTTTCTCAACTCAAGATAATATAGTACCAGATGTTTGCATATAAACAAAGTTGCAGTTGACACTAGATCATATGTGGGGGACTATCCACATAAAGTGAGAACCCTTCAAAATCTCAGTAGAGGCCTGCACCCTTACCTTGGTCTCTTGAGATGCTAGGCTTGTACCAGAACTTGGAGCTGTCCTGGACAAACTTGGCATTGACCTTACTGCTCTCCACCACCTCCTCTCTGACACCAGGGGGCGCCAGTCCTCGTCTGATAGACGGGGGGAGCTCCCTCACCGGGGGTGAGAAGGTGACCTGGAGGAGGCTGGACTGGGGAGAGAGACCCATAGGTCCTATGGCACCCAGGGAGGCCCTAAGAAGAGACTGGGAGCCGTACCCGTTGGGGGACCCTGGCATTGAGGACAGGTGCCTCTTTTCGGGGAGTGGGGGCTGGGTGGCGGGGATGGTGACGGCGCTGTAGCCTGAGTAGGGGACGTGGGGCACGTTGAGTAGAGGGTAGTAATAGGACGCCAGGGGAAAGGTGGGGGTGTTGTACCCATCTGGGACAGGCGACGGGGGTTTGTGGTCGCTGTCACTCACAGGGGTCAGTCTTCGCCCAGCTGGGTCCGTGTCCAATGGAGAGAGCTGAGGGGAGGGGCATCGCTCTGGGGAGCCAATGTAAAGGTGCAGAGAGGTAGGGGCGGAGCTGGGGCTGGAACAAGGGGTCAGGGATGTGCCACTGCCTTTTTCTGACTGGGGGGAGTCACTGGGAAGGGCGGTGCCATTGAGTTGCACTTGGACTGGGACGAATGAATGCCTTGGGTTCGGGACAGAGGCGGCCGGAGTGGACATCTCAGTTCCGCTAGACCCCTCTGTTACACTCTCTACGACCTTCAATTCTCCATCTTCAGCTGTAGTTGGAGGTGGATGCACACTTACACTTACAGTGTGCACTTGGGTTGAGCCAGTAGGGTTTACGCGTTCATTCGGCATCTGTACGGTCTCTTCAGAAGAAGAGATGTCATCTTGGTTTTGTGTCTCCGCCAACTTTGGTGGTGTCGTGGAGTGTCCATTCGGCAGAGTCCATTCGGTTTCTGGCGTGCTACTGTTGCTGTTGGTGTTAGGCTCCTGCATGGTGGAGTGGGAGGGTGAGGCTTCAGACACTGGGGCCCCACTGAAGGACTCTATCTGCTGGGGCCCTTGACTTGGCTCCTGGGGCTCCTGGGGGCCTGCTGGAGGACTCCAGGTGGAACCCTCGGTGGGGTCACACATCTTGTCTTCATCTGGCTTCTTCTCACTAGAGCAGATACATTAGAATGTTAGTTTCTACTCAGTGTACCAAAGACAACATAGAAGAGGTAGGTGATGACACAGTAGAGGGAAATGCCAACAATACAGGGAAACATAGTATTTGTAAATACAAAAATGTGTTTTGTGATACAGTGGCTTGCGAGAGTATTCACCCCCCTTGTCATTTTTCCTATTTTGTTGCCTTACAACCTGGAATTAAAATGGATTTTGGGGGGGGGGTTGTATCATTTGATTTACACAACATGCCTACCACTTTGAAGATGCAAAATATTTTCTATTGTGAAACAAACAAGAAATAAGACAAAAAAACAGAACTTGAGCGTGCATAACTATTCACCCCCCCAAAGTCATTATTTTGTAGAGCCACCTTTTGCAGCAATTACAGCAGCAAGTCTCTTGGGGTATGTCTCTATAAGCTTGGCACATCTAGCCACTGGGATGTTTGCCCATTCTTCAAGGCAAAACAGCAATCTTAAAGTCATACCACAGATTCTCAATTGGATTGAGGTCTGGGCTTTGACTAGGCCATTCCAAGACATTTAAATGTTTCCCCTTAAACCACTCGAGTGTTGCTTTAGCAGTGTGTTTAGGGTCATTGTCCTGCTGGAAGGTGAACCTCCGTCCCAGTCTCAAATCTCTGGAAGACTGAAACAGGTTTCCCTCAAGAATTTCCCTGTATTTAGCGCCATCCATCATTCCTTCAATTCTGACCAGTTTCCCAGTCCCTGCCGATGAAAAACATCCCCACAGCATGATGCTGCCACCACCATGCTCACTGTGGGGATGGTGTTTTCAGGGTGATGAGAGGTGTTGGGTTTGCGCCAGACATAACGTTTTCCTTAATGGCCAAAAAGCTCAATTTTAGTCTCATCTGACCAGAGTACCTTCTTCCATATGTTTGGGGAGTCTCCCACATGCCTTTGGTGAACAAAGCTTATTTTTTTCTTTAAGCAATTTACGGAAGAGTGGCCAGAAAAAAGCCATTGCTTAAAGAAAAAAATAAGCTTTGTTCACCAAAGGCATGTGCCCAGCTCTGTGAAGAATAAGGCTTAAAGTGGTCCTATGGACAGATACTCCAATCTCCGCTGTGGAGCTTTGCAGCTCCTTCAGGGTTATCCTTGGTCTCTTTGTTGTCTCTCTGATTAATGCCCTCCTTGCCTGGTCCGTGAGTTTTGGTGGGTGGCCGTCTCTTGGCAGGTTTGTTGTGGTGCCATATTCTTTCCAATTTTTAATAACGGATTTGAATGGTGCTCCGTGGGATGTTCAAAGTTTCTGATATTTTTGTATAACCCAACCCTGACCTGTTTGGAGTGCTCCTTGGTCTTCATGGTGCCGCTTGCTTGATGGTGCCCCTTGCTTAGTAGTGTTGCAGACTCTGGGGCCTTTCAGAACAGGTGTATATATACTGAGATCATGTGACAGATCATGTGACACTTAGATTGCACACAGGTGGACTTTATTTAACTAATTATGTGAGTTCTGAAGGTAATTGGTTTCACCAGATCTTATTTAGGGGCTTCATAGCAAAGGGGGTGAATACATATGCACGCACCACTTTTCCGTTACAGTGGGGAAAAAAAGTATTTAGTCAGCCACCAATTGTGCAAGTTCTCCCACTTAAAAAGATGAGAGAGGCCTGTAATTTTCATCATAGATACACGTCAACTATGACAGACAAAATGAGAAAAAAACATCCAGAAAATCACATTGTAGGATTTTTTATGAATTTATTGGCATATGATGGTGGAAAATAAGTATTTGGTCAATAACAAAAGTTTCTCAAAACTTTGTTTTATACCCTTTGTTGGCAATGACACAGGTCAAACGTTTTCTGTAAGTCTTCACAAGGTTTTCACACACTGTTGCTGGTATTTTGGCCCATTCCTCCATGCAGATCTCCTCTAGAGCAGTGATGTTTTGGGGCTGTCACTGGGCAACACAGACTTTCAACTCCCTCCAAAGATTTTCTATGGGGTTGAGATCTGGAGACTGGCTAGGCCACACCAGGACCTTGAAATGCTTCTTACGAAGCCACTCCTTCGTTGCCCGGGCGGTGTGTTTGGGATCATTGTCATGCTGAAAGACCCAGCCACGTTTCATCTTCAATGCCCTTGCTGATGGAAGGAGGATTTCACTCAAAATCTCACGATACATGGCCCCATTCATTCTTTCCTTTACACGGATTAGTCGTCCTGGTCTCTTTGCAGAAAAACAGCCCCAAAGCATGATGTTTCCAACCCCATGCTTCACAGTAGGTATGGTGTTCTTTGGATGCAACTCAGCATTCTTTGTCCTCCAAACATGACGAGTTGAGTTTTTACCTAAAAGTTATATTTTGGTTTCATCTGACCGTATGACATTCTCCCAATCCTCTTCTGGATCATCCAAATGCACTTCAGACGGGCCTGGACATGTACTGGCTTAAGCAGGGGGACACGTCTCGCACTGCAGGATTTGAGTCCCTGGCGGCGTAGTGTGTTACTGATGGTAGGCTTTGTTACTTTGGTCCCAGCTCTCTGCAGGTCATTCACTAGGTCCCCCCGTGTGGTTCTGGGATTTTTGCTCACCGTTCTTGTGATCATTTTGACCCCACGGGGTGAGATCTTGCGTGGAGCCCCAGATCGAGATAGATTATCAGTGGTCTTGTATGTCTTCCATTTCCTAATAATTGCTCCCACAGTTGATTTCTTCAAACCAAGCTGCTTACCTATTGCAGATTCAGTCTTCCCAGCCTGGTGCAGGTCTACAATTTTGTTTTTGGTGTCCTTTGACAGCTCTTTGGTCTTGGCCATTGTGGAGTTTGGAGTGTGACTGTTTGAGGTTGTGGACAGGTGTCTTATATACTGATAACAAGTTCAAACAGGTGCCATTAATACAGGTAACGAGTGGAGGACAGAGGAGCCTCTTAAAGAAGAAGTTACAGGTCTGTGAGAGCCAGAAATCTTGCTTGTTTGTAGGTGACCAAATACTTATTTTCCACCATAATTTGCAAATAAATTCATTAAAAATCCTACAATGGGATTTTCTGGAATTTTTTTTCTCAATTTGTCTGTCATAGTTGACGTGTACCTATGATGAAAATTACAGGCCTCTCTCATCTTTTTAAGTGGGAGAACTTGCACAATTGGTGGCTGACTAAATACTTTTTTTCCCCACTGTATATATTTATCAGTTATTTTCTTTAGACAGCTGAAGCAAGCACACACATTTTCTTCAGGAAATGTACCTATTGTAGTTACATTTTTTACATTTGAGTCATTTAGCAGACGCTCTTATCCAGAGCGACTTACAGTTAGTGAGTGCATACATTTTTCATACTGCCCCCCCGTGGGAATCGAACCCACAACCCTGGCATTGCAAGCACCATGCTCTACCAACTGAGCTACAGGAGGCCTGTAGTTTAGTCATTCATCTTAGCTTAGATGTAAGTGTTCACTGCAGGCTGACTAGCATCTATTAAACCCTCCCGTTGTCCTAGGGTCAAAATGACCCGCCACTGTGTTGAACCAACTTTATTTATTTTTTATATTTTTGGGATCATTTGTGAGAAGGAGGCAGTGAGACTTTAAAGAAAGTATCACTGCCTCCTTCTCACAAATGATCCAAAAAATATAAAAATTAAATAAAGTTGGTTCAACACAGTGGCGGGTCATTTTGACCCTAGGACAACGGGAGGGTTAAGTTGCAATGTCGAACAAATTAAATGCCCAAATCATCTTAAAGTATCTACAAAACATGTTTTTTTAAAGAATATATGTAAAATAAAATGTTTTGGTTGTTGATTTTTTGAGAAATGTGAAGCGGGGCATCCGTTATACAGTAAATCAAATGTGTATGGCCTTTGTAGGGAAAATGCAAAACTGACCCAAAATCAGCAACTAGAGGCAACTTCACCCAACACCTGGACACATAACAGGAGACTGAGGGTTACCCACCTGTCTTCACTGTGTGCAGGGCTGCTGGTGATAGCTGTGTAGTCTGGATCAGAGTCTGATAAGGGGGTGGGGCAAGCGGGCTGTCCATCAACCTCTGCTTGCCCCAATGACCCCTGGGAAGAAGAGTCCTCCATACCCACACTGTTCTGCACCACCTCTAACACACCTAGAGAGAAGAGAGAGATAGAGAAAGAGAGAGGGAGAGTAAGAGAAAGAAGGTCCAGTTAGATCTGATCCATCTAGTGTAAACATGTGCATAATACAGTACGAGATTGCGTCACTTACCATTGTGCCCATCAGTCTGTTGCTGCCGATCGGCGAGTGGTTCAGAGGGGGAGGCACCAGTGTTTGGGCCACCAGGGGGCAGGGGCGAGGCAGACACGGACTGGTACCCCGAGGCGTACCCCCGGCTCCCGTGGCTCTCTGAGGGGGAGGCCTGCTGGTAGGGCTCGCAGGGGCAGGAGTGTAGGGGGGGTTGAGGGGTGTGGTACCCACTGCTACCACGGGGGTTGTCCAGGAGGGGGTGGGGGCTGGGGTACCCAGGCAGGTTAGGGCCCAGCAGGAAAACAGAAGGGTCGTGACCTTGATCCAGAGGGGACTGATAGCCTCTATAGGACGACATCCCTCCCACTGACCGCTGCCAAAACTCTGCCTTTCGCTCCGCATCCCACAGATTCTCCGCCTTCCAAAGTTGAGGAGGCCACTCTCTCCCCCGCCTCAGCCCCGCCTCCCTGTCCCATAGCTCAGAGTCCCGCCCTCGAGCCCAGTGTGGGCTCTCTGGTTGGTCCGGGCGCAGCGGGTGGAAGGCTCTGGCTGAAGCCGATTGGTGCTCTCGCCTGCAGGTGCAGTCCTGACATGGGCAGCCACCAGGAGGAGGAGCCGCCGGGCTGTAAAACATCTCCCTATATGGACTGGAGGGCAGCGATTGGTGGGAGAGACGAGGGGAAAGGGGGGCGTGGGCGGGGTAATGAAAGAGCTGACACTCCTCCCTGCCACAGAAGACCCTATTGGAGGCCGGGAGGGTGTGGGTGTGTGGGTGGACGTTTTCAGGGGCAGGGTAGGGGTAGCAGGGACGATGGAGACAGGGTAAAGGGGGTGGAGGGTGTTCCCACGGCAACTCGGGCAGGGGATGGGCGCTATGGCGATGGCACAAGTTCAGGTGGGGCGAGAGAGGGCGAGGAGACGCGGGCAGCTGGGAGGGTAAGGCGGGTAGCGTTCGGCTCTTTGGATTCCCCTTGGTTCTGTTACAGCGGTCCATATAATGTCCATTTGCAAGGCATGGCTCCCTCTCTCTCGCCCTCTCCCAACCCGGTGCCTCCCCACACCTCTGACATCTTGGACCATGGCCCGCTTGAATGCAACATGACCGCTGCTCCCGCTTCGACCCTCCGTCCGGCACAGACTCTCCGTCATCCAAAATGGCCGTCTCCCTGTCCCTCTCCCTCTGCCTCACCCTTTCCCTTCCTCCGCCCTCCCCCTCTACCCTCCTCAGAAGACCATCCATCTCTTCCTTCTCTTTCTCCAGACGGGACAGGGGGCGAGGAGGGGGGTCCTCCAGGTGTTCTGATGGGGGTGGAGGAGTGCCCCGAGTCGGAGCTGAGGGACAGGGGCTGGGTTTGAGGCTGGGCCTGGGGCTTGGCTGTGGGGCTGCTTGAGGGGCATCCATTGGGAGAGGCCCCAGAGGCACCGACACATGCTGGGCCCCGACGCTTCTTCACCTGGGCGTACAGGCTGCCATCCAGGGGGCCCCGCGTATGGGAGATGTCTGACAATTAGAGAGGGATACAGGGTTAGCTGTGAGTGTGTGTGTGTTCTCTCTGAGGTGTCCTGGTGGTATAGGTTTGTGTGTGTGTGTGTTTGTGTGTGTGTGTGTGTGTGTGTATGTGCATGCATGATATAGTGTGTATGGGTGTCTGTTTGTCTGTAAGTGTGTGTGTGCGCGTGTGTTTCACCCTTACCCTCAATGCTATCCTGGTGGTGAAGGTTGAAGTTCTCATAGGAGTCCCAGCGCACCACAGGGTCTGAAGTGTTGTAGTCCACTGTAACAGAGGGGTCGCTCTTACGGTACTCTCGCCCTGTGAAGAAAGAGAAGTAAGATATAACACACACTTCTGGACTGCACAGACGTATACACAGGCATACAGTATACAAACAATAACAAGTATGTTAAAACGCATACAAACAGTACCTTTCATTTTCTCTGGGCCGTAGGAGAAGATAAACTCCACTGTAGCATCTGGAGGGAACCGGTCATCTACAGAGAGATAAACTAAACATCACAGAAAATTCTCTCTCTCTCTCTCTCTCTCTCTCTCTCTCTCTCTCTCTCTCTCTCTCTCTCTCTCTCTCTCTCTCTCTCGCTCTCTCTCTCGCTCTCTCTCTCTCTCTCTCTCTCTCTCTCTTCTCTCTCTCTCTCTCTCAAAAAAATTACAGTAAACATTACACTCTCAAAATACTTTTCAAATGTCATTATGTGCAAATGGTTAAAGTACAAAAGGGAAAATAAACATATATATGAGTTGTATTTACAATGGTGTTTGTTCTTCACTGCCCTTTTCTTGTGGCAACAGGTCACAAATCTTGTTGCTGTGATGGCACACTGTGGTATTTCACCCGATAGATATGGGAGTTTGGCAGGAGGTTAGGAAGTGCAGCTCAGTTTCCACCTCATTTTGTGGGCAGAGTGCACATAGCCTGTCTTCTCTTGAGAGCCAGGTCTGCCTACGGCGGCCTTTCTCAATAGCAAGGAAAGGGAAAGGGGCATACCTAGTCAGTTGTACAACTGAATGTATTCAACTGAAATGTGTCTTCCTCATTTAACCCAACCCCTCTGAATCAGAGAGGTGCGGGGGGCTACCTTAATTGACATCCACGTCATCGGCGCCCGGGGAAAGGCTATGCTCACTGAGTCTGTACATAGTCAAAGCTTTCCTTATGTTTGGGTCAGTCACAGTGGTCAGGTATTCTGCCACTGTGTACTCTCTGTTTAGGGCCAAATAGCTCTGGTTTTTTTGTTAATTCTTTCCAATGTGTCAAGTAATTATATTTTTGTTTTCTCATGATTTGGTTAGGTCTAATTGCTGTCCTGGGGTCTGTGGGGTCTGTTTGTGTTTGTGAACAGAGCCCTAGGACCAGCTTGCTTAGGGGACTCTTCTCCAGGCTCATCTCTCTGTAGGTGATGGCTTTGTTATGGAAGGTTTGGGAATCGCTTCCTTTTCGGTGGTTGTAGAAATTAACGGCTCTTTTCTGGATTTTGATAATTAGCGGGTTTTGCAGAATTCTGCATGCAAAGTCTCAATTTGGTGTTTGTCCCATTGTGTGACTTCTTAGATGGTGAGCGGAACCCAGACCTCACAACCATAAAGGGCAATGGGTTCTATAACTGATTCAATTATTTTTTTGCCAGATCCTAATTGGTATGTCAAATTTTATGTTCCTTTTGATGGCACAGAAGGCACTTCTTGCCTTGTCTCTCAGATCGTTCACAGCTTTGTGGAAGTTACCTGTGGCGCTGATGTTTAGGCCGAGGTATGTATAGTTTTTTGTGTGCTCTAGGGCAACGGTGTCTAGATGGAATTTGTATTTGTGGTCCTGGCAACTGGACCTTTTTTGGAACACCATAATTTTTTTGTCTTACTGAGATTTACTGTCAGGGCCCAGGTCTCACAGAATCTGTGCAGAAGATCTAGGTGCTGCTGTAGGCCCTCCTTGGTTGGGGACAGATGCACCAGATCATCAGCAAACAGTAGACATTTGACTTCAGATTCTAGTAGGGTGAGGCCGGGTGCTGTAGACTGTTCTAGTGCCCTTGCCAATTCGTTGATATATATGTTGAAGAGGGTGGGGCTTAAGCTGCATCCCTGTCTCACCCCAAGGCCCTGTGGAAAGAAATGTGTGTTTTTTGCCAATTTTAACTGCACACTTGTTGTTTGTGTACATGGATTTTATAATATTGTATGTTTTTACCCCAACACCACTATCCTTCAATTTGTAGCAAAATGTGGGTCATGCCAAATTGAGTCAAAAGCTTTTTTGAAATCAACAAAGAATGAGAAGACTTTGCCTTTGTTTTGGTTTGTTTGTTTGATCAATTAGGGTGTGCAGGGTGAGTACGTGGTCTGTCGTATGGTAAAATGCCAATTTGACACTTGGAAATGTACGAGTCTGCTGTTAATGATAATGCAGAGGATTTTCCCAAGGTTGCTGTTGACGCATATCCCACGGTAGTTATTGGTGTCAAATTTATCCCCACTTATGTGGATTGGGGTGATCAGTCCTTGGTTCCAAATATTGGGGAAGATGCCAGAGCTAAGGATGATGTTAAAGAGTTTAAGTATAGCCAATTGGAATTTGTGGTCTGTATATTTTATCATTTCATTTAGGATACCATCAACACCACAGGACTTTTTGGATTGGAGGGTTTGTATTTTGTCCTGTAGTTCATTCAATGTAATTGGAGAATCCAGTGGGTTCTGGTAGTCTTTAATAGTTGATTCTAAGATTTGTATTTGATCATGTACATGTTTTTGCTGTTTGTTCTTTGATAAGAGCCAAAAAGATTGGAGAAGTGGTTTATCCATACATCTCCGTTTTGGATAGATAACTCTTTGTGTTGTTGTTTGTTTAGTGTTTTCCAATTTTCCCATAAGTGGTTAGAGTCTATGGATTCTTCAATTACATTGAGCTGATTTCTGATGTGCTGTTCCTTCTTTTTCCATAGTGTATTTCTGTTTTGTTTTAGTGATTCACCATTGTGAAGGCATAGCATAGGCTCAGGTTTTCTGGGTCTCTGTTTTTGGTTGGATAGGTTTCTTAATTTCTTTCTTAGGTTCTTACATTCTTCATCAAACCATTGTTGTTAATTTTCTTAGGTTTTCTGCTTGACATTTTTAGATTTGATAGGAAAGCTGAGAGGTCAAAAATACTGTTTAGGTTTTCTACTACCAAGTTTACACCTTCACTATTACAGTGAAACGTTTTGTCCAGGAAGTTGTCTAAAAGGGATTGAATTTGTTGTTGCCTAATTGTTTTTTGGTAGGTTTCCACACTACTTTCCTTCCATCTATAGCATTTCTTAATATTATTCAGTTCCTTTGGCTTTGATGCCTCATGACTGAGTATTGCTCTGTTCAAGTAGACTGTGATTTTGCTGTGATCTGATAGGGGTGACAGTGGGCTGACTGTGAACGCCCTGAGAGACTCTGGGTTGAGGTCAGTGAGAAAGTAGTCTACAGTACTACTGCCAAGAGATGAGCTATAGGTGTACCTACCATAGGAGTCCCATCGAAGCCTACCATTTACTATGTACATACCCAGCTTGCGACAGAGCTGCAGGAGTTGTGACCCGTTTTTGTTGTCGTAGTTGTGCCTAGAGGGGCATATGGAGGAGGGAATGCTGTCACTTCCAGGTAGGTGTTTGTCCCCATGTGCTGAGGGTGTCAGATTCTTGTCCAGTTCTGGCATTTAGGTTGCCACAGATTAGTACATGTCCCTGGGCATGGAAATGATTGATTTCCCCCTCCAGGATGGAGAAGCTGTCTTCATTAAAGTATGGGGATTCTAGTGGGGGGATGTACAGTTGAACCATTTCAAGGAAACAGATTCTGGCAGAACGCAGATGTTTTTGTTTAGTTTTTTAGAACAAGTCATTTTATTTGTGTTGGAATAAACAACATGTTTCAAGATATATATATTCTTTGTTGCCGTATGTACTCTTGAATTATATTTAAAATATGGTAACTTGAAATGAAAACAAATCTGTAATAACTCTGTAATGACAAATGTAATTGTAATGTTAGAATGTTAAGACATCATAATCGAAGATAGCAGCTCAAGCCATTCTATTTTGATTTGAAACAGTCCATGCCCATTCTATTTCACTGCCATGGCAATTTTGATTCAAACAATACAAATTGCATTTGAATACGATGATATCACAATCAAGCATATCAAATGTTTTAGAATTTTAGAATTGAGAATGTTTGGTTGGTAGGGGACAATGTTTGTTTGGAATTCAGTTTTGGTGGCAAAAGCCCCAAGCCTAGACTTGAGACTTGTAGGGCCCTATAAAATCTATTATTATTTAAGTTTTTCCCAGTTTTCACTCTTAAAATCTCACTTTTTTAATATAAAATGTTAATGTTTAGCAATGTTTCTGTATGAAAAGCCTTTCCATCTCTACCAGAAGGTTATCATTAGCATCATCGCTAACGGCTACACAAATTGTAGACATACGCGCACACACACAGACAGGAGCATTCCTGGATTCTGTGATTCCGCAACGCAGATTTTATAGGGCCCTAGACTTGTCTCTGCTATCGAAGATCATATAAAATGTGCCGAATTCAGCATCTTCCTTGGACACCATCCTTGGTGCTGTCCCTTTGGACAGAGTGGACAGAGGAGGAGGATGACGATGTCATATACATGGGGACGATTCACCCGCCTGCTGCCTCAGATGTTGAGGAAGTCTCAGCCCTACAGACATTCAGTCTCACTTCTAGCCCCAGCCGAGTCCAGTCCAGTCAGTCTCTGCTGCAGGGGAGGGAGACTGGTGTACAACTCAGCCCGTGTTCACCAGCTCTGTAAGTGCCTCCATCTACCTCGCCCTTGCTCTATTCTGTACCAGTGCAGGCAGCCGCCACCAGTCTCCCAGAGTTTTACATGGAACAGGACTTCTGGTACACATTCATGTCCACATACTCCAGTACAACATGCTCCAGTACAACATCCAGTGCTTTTACGAGTGCTTTTGACAGCTTCAAGCCTTCTACTACAGAGAGCTGATGCAGAGGGCTGACTTTGAGAGAGACGCCCACATGCACCCAGTGACACAGAAGAGACAGGCCTGGTCTGACTCTGTGGACACTGAGGACGAAGAAGTAGTGGAACCTCCACAGCAGAGGCAACATGGGAGCTCTGACGTGCAGTGGCTCTTTTCTGATGAGGAGATGGAGGCCATACCAGGGGTGTTGGAGTTGGCAGTGAAGATGGGCTTCCTCTCTGCTTCTGAGGTATTAGTTAGGCTATTGGTAGGTGTACGTTTGCTAATACATTGTTTATTTGTATATCAATATACTATTTGAAAAGATTTGTTAAATAATGTCATCATTTTGTTTCTTGTATTTTCGGAGTCAGATATCTGTGTATGTGACTGAGCGTGCGTGCGAGCCAGTGAGAGTGTGTGCTTGAGCGTCTGTCTGACTGCTTCAAATAATAAGCGATTGCACTTCGTCCTGAAACACAATCATTCCCTTCTCCCTCCTCCCCTCTCCCTCCTTCCTAAACTCCCCGACGTTCCCCTCTATTTTATTTACTTTTATTTTATTTAAATCTTATTTTACCACGTAAGTTGACTGAGAACACATTCTCATTTACAGCAACGACCTGGGGAATAGTTACAGGGGAGATGAGGGGGGATGAATGAGCCAATTGGAAGCTGGGGATGATTAGGTGGCTATGATGGTATGAGGGCCAGATTGGGAATTTAATCAGGACACCGGGGTTAACATCCCTACTCTTACGATAAGTGCCATGGGATCTTTAGTGACCACAGAGAGTCAGGACACCCGTTTAACGTCCCATCAGAAAGACGGCACCCTACACAGGGCAATGTCCCCAATCACTGCTCTGGGGCATTGGGCTATTTTTTTAGACCAGAGAATAGAGTGCCTCCTACTGGCCACCCAACACCACTCCCAGAAGCATCTGGTCTTCCATCCAGGGACTGACCAGGACCAACCCTGCTTACCTTCAGAGGAAAGCCAGCAGTGGGATTATGGGTGGTATACTGCTGGCCAATCAGACCCCTGGTACCTACCTGCACAGGCCAGGTCCAGCTCTCCTTTGCCGAACCACAGCTGAGCTCCATGGACCGTACAGGTGTGGAACTGCAGCCTGAACACCGCCTCCCTCTCTGAGCCATGTGGCCGCCGGTGGTAGCATTTCACCTGGGGAGAGAGACAAGAAAGAGAGAAAGAGAAACACAGAGAGAGATTATGTGGCCACACTATTATTTACACAAGCACTGTGTTTGAGACTTAGGATAACTAATAGGGGCCATGTTAGATGCAAAAGCTCCAAGACAATTACATTCTAGTTCAAATTACAATGTTATTGTCATGGAATATTTGGTGGCAACATGGAGGATAATTTGCCTGAATGTGGATCCATGGCTGGAGCTTTACAGATATGAGCTGTTGAAAGGGTCAAAGAGAAAAGGAGAGGGGACTGGTAGATAAAGATGGAGAGGAGTGATGACTAGTTCCTGTGTGTCCATTTTGTTTAACACTCACCATGACGTCCCCCTTCAGCAGTAGCGCCGGCTCGAGTGTCACACACAGCTTTCTCGCCCTGGAGCCCTGGGGGTCGCTACACAGAGACAGACGAAAACATAGTCAAAACACATTCGAACATCTGTAAAACACACCTCAACATAAAACACAGACAAACAATGTTCAGTTGGAATAAACACAGACCATTACACATGTAAACACAGGCGGTAGCACATATAAACAAAGTCCCAACAAAGGTACCCAAGTACCTACCGTGTCTGAAGGTGGAAAGGGAACAGAGTGAAAAATGTACTGATCATATAGTATTAACAACATAATTAACTCACTAAATGCCTGATGTGTAGACCAGCTGTAGAGACTGGTAGATCTTCAGGAAAGGATAATAACCTGCACAGAAAGCGAGTGAGTGTAGGAATGAAGGAGTGGAGAGACAGCAGGGGGAGAAAGATGGTGTTGATGTGAGGTCATTAAAGAAGAAGAGGAGGCAATATATCCCCCCAAAGTTGTTTGAAGTGAAAGAAATTCTAGATGCAAATTCTAAAAAATACTCATATTAATACTCCTAAAGGCGTCCACATGCTTCCAAGCCGAAACAGTTCGGAATACTTAGTGCATATATTATGACGACACAACATTTTGTGACGTTTTTGTTTGTTCTGGACTTTTTTCAGCTGTTCGGGCACACAAAAAGTTCTCAAGGCAAGCCGAAGTCGGTAGCCGAAGTCTACGCCCCTTCTTTGGTTATTTGTTTAACAGTAGGGATTCTTCAATAAAGTCTTTGATGTCATTCAATGAGAGACGACTTGTTCTCATGCATATTTTTTAATTGAGAAATACTGCACCCAACATCTTAGATCACCTCGGCAAAAAGGTCAAAATTAATGACATATTTCTTGAGTTATCTTAGATTAATTCTGAGTATTTTGAGGAAGTGTATACTGGCTACGGCGTCTCAAAATGGACAAACAGTACTATTGCCGCTTCTTTCTCGTTTTTCAAGCGAAGGTCTTTTAAGGAAGTACGAAAGCACACTCGTTCGGTTCACACCGAGCTCGGCTAGGCGCCAACTGAACTGAAGAATGCTGACGCCTTAACAGTACTAAACTAACAAGTTCCAACTCATTTGATAGCCACACATGGACCTCCTCATTTGCATCTTAAAAAGAAGAGGAAGGCATTGTGGTAAGTTATCTTTTCAAGTTGAAACAACTCCGATTTGACAGTACTACATCACATTGTACAGGAGGACAGTGGGACACTGACCTCCTCCTGCTGCCTGGAAGTTCGGCAGGCTGGGGATGAGGACCTGGTGGAGGAACAGAGGACTGCTATTCATCCTGATCGCCCCCGACAGCAGACCACCAAAGTAGTAGATATACCTGGGGAAGAGAAGAAAGAGAGGTGGGAGAAAGATTGGGGCGTTTAGAATTAGGAGGGATGTGCAGACTCAAATAGGTGACAACCTAGCTACAATATACAAGGAGGAGAAAAGTTGGAAAGATGGAGGGAAAGTGGCAAGACATAAAAGAGAGATGCTCTTGCCTGTTTTGAGAGGGCTGTAGCGAGGAGGAAACTTTATCTTCACAGAACTTCCTCATGGCCAGAGTGTTCAGGGCCTGGTCCACCCTGCACACACACAAACACAGTATCAATAACTCTCTGTACAAGTGTACCCACGTACGGCGTCAATAAGACTTTGACAGTACGTACACATTCACGCACACACACAGTCATCACATACCCTGCAGATATCTTGCTGTAGTGCATGTAGGCAGCCACAATGACCCCCGTCTTCCCCTTGTTTCCCTGTGATAGAGAAAAGGAAAGAAAAAGAGAGAGAGACATGTAGGCTAACTGGACATATTTGAACAGAACAAACAACACAATACAAACAATGCAACAACACAACAGTAGAGCATCTCCCCTGACCTTGCAGTGCAGGACTACCACGTTGCCGGGGTCAGAGGTGAGCCAGGTCTCCATGGCCTTACACATGGCACAGATCTTGTCCAGGGGAGGGGCATGCAGGTCTGGCCAACCAAAGTCTTCAACCTGAGTTTGGCACACACAGTGAAGTTATCCATCTCTGGATAAACCTTCTATGGGAAGCAGTCCATCGGAACCAGAATTTGAGAGCACTGTACTAGTAGCACTCTGGAGTGCGGTCCTCACACACTCAATTACAGGTATATTGCATCACTATGGTGGTCATCCTACCTTGGGGTGGAGTCTGGTGATGTCATGACGCTTCTCAGACAGGTTTAAGAGCTGGGAGAGGCAGACATTGAGACAAAGAGAAGAGGAAATCAACAATGTCATACCCAGTAACCACACAACAACCACACAACGTTGTCTCAACATTGACTACAAATTGTCTGACATAATATGCACAAAACGTTACATTGAAGTGCTGGGTGGAGCAAAACAATTACCTTCTGTTACAAAAGAACAATATACTGATTGTATTGCTTCTTTATAACACCACACAGTAACATAGTTAATATACCCAACCGGGCCCTAAGAATGAGCAATCGTCACTTGCTAACTAAACTCGGCAAAAAAAGAAACGTCCCTTTTTCAGGACCCTGTCTTTCAAAGATAATTCATAAAAATCCAAATAACTTCACAGATCTTCATTGTAAAGGGTTTAAACACTGTTTCCCATGCTTGTTCAATTAACCATATACAATTAATGAACATGCAGCTGTGGAACGGTCGTTAAGACACTAACAGCTTACAGATGGTAGGCAATTAAGGTCAAAGTTATGAAAACCTAGGACACTAAAGAGGCCTTTCTACTGACTCTGAAAAACACCAAAAGAAAGATGCCCAGGGTCCCTGCTCATCTGTGTGAATGTGCCTTAGGCATGCTGCAAGAAGGCATGAGGACTGCAGATGTGGCCAGGGCAATAAATTGCAATGTCCGTACTGTGAGACGCTTAAGACAGCGCTACAGGGAGACAGGACGGACAGCTGATCATCCTCGTAGTGGCAGATCACGTGTAACAACACCTGCCAGGATCAGTACATCCGAACATCACACCTGCGGCACAGGTACAGGATGGCAACAACAACTGCCCGAGTTACACCAGGAACGCACAATCCCTCCATCAGTGCTCAGACTGTCCGCAATAGGCTGAGAGAGGCTGGACTGAGGGCTTGTAGGCCTGTTGTAAGGCAGGTCCTCACCAGACATCACCGGCAACAACGTCGCCTATGGGCACAAACCCACCGTCGCTGGACCAGACAGGACTGGCAAAAAGTGCTCTTCACTGATGAGTCGCAGTTTTGTCTCACCAGGGGCAATGGTCGGATTCGCATTTATCATCGAAGGAATGAGCGTTACACCGAGGCCTGTACTCTGGAGCGGGATCGATTTGGAGGTGGAGGGTCCGTCATGGTCTGGGGCGGTGTGTCACAGCATCATCGGACTGAGCTTGTTGTCATTGCAGGCAATCTCAACGCTGTGCGTTACAGGGAAGAGATCCTCCTCCCTCATGTGGTACCCATCCTGACATGACCCTCCAGCATAACAATGCCACCAGCCATACTGCTCGTTCTGTGCGTGATTTCCTGCAAGACAGGAATGTCAGTGTTCTGCCATGGCCAGCGAAGAGCACGGATCTCAATCCCATTGAGCATGTCTGGGACCTGTTGGATCGGAGGGTGAGGGCTAGGGGGGTCAGTATGAAAAATGTATACACTCACTAATTGTAAGTCGCTCTGGATAAGAGCGTCTGCTAAATCACTAAAATGTAAATTGGATCACTAAAAAATACAACTGGGCCCTGTGTAGCTCAGTTGGTAGAGCATGGCGCTTGCAACGCCAGGGTTGTGGGTTCGATTCCCACGGGGAGCCAGTATGAAAAAAATAAAATACATGTATGCACTCTGGATTAGAGCGTCTGCTAAATGACTAAAAAAGGTTAAATTCCCCCCAGAAATGTCTGGGAACTTGCAGGTGCCTTGGTGGAAGAGTGGGGTAACATCTCACAGCAATAACTGGCAAATCTGGTGCAGTCCATGAGGAGGAGATGCATCTGGTGGTGCATCTGGTGGCCACACCAGATTCTGAGTGTTACTTTTGATTTTGATCCCCCCCTTTGTTCAGGGACACATTATTCAATTTCTGTTAGTCACATGTCTGTGGAACTTGTTCAGTTTATGTCTCAGTTGTTGAATTTTGTTATGTTCGTACAAATATTAACACATTAAGTTTGCTGAAAATAAACGCAGTTTGCTGAGTTTATATAAAAGAGTAATGGAAGAAGATGGCGCAAGCTCAGTGGTTCGTAATCATTCACAGATTGTGATAGAAAACACTGTTGTTCACGGACCACGAACAAACACATCTTTGTTTCGGTTTTTATAAAAATGTAGGGGAGAAACAAGCATTGGCAACACATTGTCTCAAATGTTTACTAACTTTATGAGATGGCAGACTGAGTATACTGTTGTGTAATACACTGCATCATTCAACAAATTGTGTCCTTTCATCTTCATTCAGACCAGGGCCCATACTCAGATTAGTGAGTGCTGATCTAGGATCAGTTTTGCCTTTTGGATCATAATGAATAAGATTACATGGACAGGGGGGCCCGGATCCCAGATCAGCACTCCTACTCTGAGACACTCTGTGAATATGTGCCCAGATGTGGGCAACCTTACCTTGCGAGGCCAGTGAAGGTGCAGGCTTTTGCTCCAGCCCAGCAGTAACCTAATTTTAAAACTCAAAGCCTCGATTGAGGACTATGATTAGTTGATAAGTTGAATTAGGTGTGTTACTGCTTGGCTGGAGCAAAAGCCTGCACCTACATCGACCATCTCAGGTTGTCGACCCACCCCTGGCTGACATAGACAATGAATCAACTTTTGGGAGTATGCAGGCCTCTTGTTAGTCATATGTATCGATTGATGTACCCAGCACCAAAGTCATGTACATTAGCACACGCACTGGAAAAAGTACATTAGCACACGCAATAGAAAACGTTTTTTAAATGTTTCATAACTGAAAATAAAAATGAATGTTTCTCATTGGACAAATCCCCAGGTAGTCCTTACCTGTTTCGGTCTACTTTGTTATGTTTGGGGCCTGAACGTTCACATTTTGGATGTGTGAATTGCCTTTTTCCAAGTACGGTACTCATTCCCCCCCAACTCACCAGGAACTTGTCTTGGTGTTTGGACTTGAGCATGGCGGCCACTTCCTGTAAGTTGCCACAGTAACGTTGTTCTTCCAGATCGGGCAGGAAGAAAACAGAGATGATCCTCTCAGTGATGTAGGTGAGGTCAAAGTCATAGTGCCTTGCCATCACTCTCTCCATCACACACTCCACACTCTTACTCCTGGAGGAGAGGAGAGAGATGAGAGAGAGAGAGAGGCAGTCAGTTCATCTCTTTCATTTATTATATCCTGGGGTTATACCCATGGGCGGCGCACAATTGGTCCAGCGTCGTCTAAGGTAGGGGAGGGTTTGGCCGGAAGGGATGTGGGTTCGTTTCCCACGGGGGGCCAGTATGAAAAAAAACAATGAAAAAAAACATGTATGCATTCACTAACTGTAAGTCGCTCTGGATAAGAGTGTCTGCTAAATGACTAAAATGTAAATGTAAATGTTAAAGCAAAACAAATCCCATGACTTCTTAAGACAATCTCAGATCGATTGTCTGGGGCCAAGTTAACCTCCCCTTTCACGTAAAAAAAAATCATGACCATCATGCTTTTAGGGAATGAGGATCATTCGAATTTGACCAATTCCAGTCCCCTTTCTTAGTGGGTCCGGGGTCCTCCCCCGGAATAATTTCTATGTAGGACTGAGAAACTCAGTTCTGGTGCCTTTTACTCCAAAATGAAAGAAAATACAATTATGCTGACACCATCTAAAATATAATTTCCACCTTTCCAAAATAAGCCTAATATTATACTGGTAAAAATTACGTTACAATTATTTTAACATATTGGACCATGCATATAGCCTATGCATGATCTGTATTATCAGATGTCCCATTAGCAATAAGCATTATCACCTGTAGCCCAACTGATGCAGCATAGTGGCTATAAATACATAGGTTGAAGCAATTCTTCCATCTGCATTTACCCCATTACCTCCATTGGACATCCTGATTGTTATAATTAATTATTATTATAAAAAATTGTTATTAATAATGATTATATTACAAAGTATGTCATTGCCCTTTTAAGATGCCATTGAACCTTTAAGAGCTCTGTTGCGCAGCTGCGCCTAAACTCCGGTTGTGTGGTTGTAACTGCATTTTTAAAACGATGCCACGCAAGCAATTGTAGGAGTAGAGAAATAAACATGTTAGCAATGGAAAGCTGGGATCCCCTCTTTTTTTAACAACGGCCAAAACACAAAAGTGTTTTCACTGTGATTGCATTAAGAATTGTTGTGCATTGACTGCTTGCATAGGCGGCGCATAAGTTTCAAGTTAGGGGAAGCAAAAATATTTATTAACAAAAATAATAATAAAAAAAATGCTGTTTAAGATGAGGGAGGACGATTTTTTAAAAATGAGCATGGCCTTATTTCTATTAAAGCATATTGGATGACTCTCATTCATATTCCATTCACCCAGTTCAATTTAACAGCGACAGGTTTGGGCTACTACATGATACTAAATTTTCCCTACACCCATCATGAGGTTGCTACAACCTAGCCTATGAATTAAAGTTTACAATGTAGGTGCACACAGGTCGAGAGACAAATTTGAGGTGACACATGGACAGACAGTGACATTTAATACCGCCTTGCACAGTCTTGCCTGTGTCTAGCTGATATAGGGTGTAATCATTAGTCTATACAGTTGCAAGCTAGAGTTTCTATTGGACAAATTCAGGTATGTTTATCCTTGTTTGTTCCGTTTGCTTCCGTTTAAGAAACGCTTTCAACAGAATCGGCGTAATGAATACACCCCTGATCACGCGTAAATACAGTTCACTTTCATAGCAGCCACATTGTATTCCTCCTCCGGAAGTTGTCATAATTACTGTGTAAGTCTATAGAAGGGGGTGAGAACCATGAGCCTCCTAGGGTTTGTATTGAAGTTAATGTTCCCAGAGGAGGACGGAAGCTAGCTGTCGTCCAGCTACACCATGGTGCGACCCTACAGAGTGCTGTTGAGGCTACTGTAGACCTTTGCAAAATAGTGTGTTTTAATCAATTATTTGGTGACATCATTATATTTAGTATAGTTTTATCTAAAAAGGATAAAAAGGATATGTATTATTTTTATGAAATTCACTGATGAGGATGGTCCTCCCCTTCCTCCTCTGAGGAGCCTCCACTGTATTTGGTTGAGACGTTGATCAATGAGATAAAAACCTATATACACCCACTCAAAAAGACACCCAAAAGTTGGTTTAATTTCAAATGTCTATCACTGCACTTTCAACCATTTAAAAGCACAGCAAAGTTCAAATGGGAATACAATGTCAGATATTTTGTTTATTTATACAACAGATTAATGTATTATCACTGTGCTTCATCTAATAGCAGAACCAAATGATCTGGATTGCAGTTGAAATTACAGTGCTTTCAGAAAGTATTCACACCCCTCGACTTCTTCCACATTTTGTTGTCTTTAAAATTGATAAAGTTTAGATTTATTTTGTCACTGGCCTACACACAAAACCCCATAATGTCAAAGTGGAATGTAATTTTAAAAAAACTTTACAAATTAATTAAAATATGAAACGCTGAAATGTCTTGATTCAATAAGTATCCAACCCCTTGTTTTGGCATGCCTGAATAAGTTCAGGAGTAAACCTTTGCTTAACAAGTCACATAATACATTCCATGGACTCACTCTGTGTGCAATAATAGTGTTTTGAATGACTACCTGATCTCTGTAACCCACACATACAATTATCTGTAAGGTCCTTCAGTTGAGCAGTGAATTTCAAACACAGATTCAACCACAAAGACCAGGGAGGTTTTCCAATGCCTAGCAAAGAAGGGTAGATGGGTAAAAAAAAAAGCAGACATTGAATATCCCTTTGAGCATGGTGAAGTTATTAATTACACTTTGGATGGTGTATCAATACATCCAGTCACTACAAAGATACAGGTGTCCTCCCTAACCGCTCAGGGATTTCACCATGAGGCCAATGGTGACTTTAAAACAGAGTTTGATGGCTGTGATAGGGGAAACTGAGGATTGATAAACAACATTGTAGTTACTCCACAATGCTAACTTAATTGACAGAGCAAAAAGAAGAAAGCCTGTACAGAAAAAATATATTCCAAAATATGTATCCTGTTTGCAACAAGGCCCTAAAGTAATACTGATGTGGCAAAGCAATTCACTTTTTGCCCTGAATATAAAGTGTTATATATTTGGGGCAAATCCAATTCAACACATTAATGAGTACCACTCTCCAGACTGTCAAGCATAGTGGTGGGTGCATCATGTTATGGGTATGCTTGTAATCGTTAAGGACTGGGGAGATTTTCAGGATAAAAAAGACATGGAATGAAGCTAAGCACAGGCAAAATCCTAGAGGAAAACGTGGTGCAGTCTGCTTTCCACCAGACACTGGGAGATGAATTCACCTTTCAGCAGGGCAATAACCTAAAACACAAGGCCAAATCTACACTGGAGTTGCTTACCAAGAAGACAGTAAATGTTCCTGAGTGGCCGAGTTACAGTTTTGACTTAAATCTACTTTAAAATCTATGGCAAGACCTGAACATGGTTGTCTAGCAATGAACAACAAACCATTTGCAAGAGCTTGAAGAATTTTGAAAAGAATAATGAGCAAATGTTGCACAATCCAGGTGTGGAAAGCTCTTAGAGACTTGCCCAGAAAGACTCACAGCTGTAATCGCTGCCATAGGTGCTTCTACAAAGTACTGACTCAGAGGTGTAGATACTTATGTAAATGAGATATTTCATTAGGAATACGTCAAGTGGTATGAATACTTTCTGAAGGCACTGGCTTAATTCCATTCTTTAACTTTTATTGTTGGTTGAGTTGGAGACGTGAATTCAACATATTACTAATTACTAATTTGTAGACTAACTGGAATTAAAGCCAGACTAAATCAGTGGCACAGATGGAACTATCCAAGCAGAAGATACATCTCCTTCAAATGTTGATATTTTGTTGCTTTGACAACCAAACACAATTCAATATCACTAAATATCATTACACTTGAAATCAACCAGAGCTTGAAACCCTAGGCCTATTGTACTCTATTTTTAGTTTAATTCTGTGTTGAATTGAAACAATAGCTGTTGATGACTGCAAATCATATCTAGGCCTAAATGGAATTATTGATGATACGAGTGTATGGTCACATTTAATTTGCTCTGTTAAACGTACCCTTTGGAATGACTTCGATACAGTGAATCTATTTCGTTTTTAAGTGGAGATCTCTCAACAATCAGTCTCATGATAGCACATTGGTAATAGTCAGTGACAAATATCATAGCTAAGCATGGCTGGGCTTTGGTTAAAACCCTGGATGGGAGACCAAAGGGTAGCTATAGATAGACCAATTCTCCAGTAGGAGGTGCTGCCCAGCCTAGTTTTTTTTTCTGACATTGGATATAACGTTGAAGATCTGACGTTGTTTTAAAGGTACAAATTCAATATATTTCGTACAAGGTTTGTCTATGTTGAAATTCGGTTACCATGATGTGGTTGACATTTCACCATCAAAACAACAGTTTACGTTAATTACTTTTTTTCCAAATCCAATGTATTTTGCACGTAGATTTCACGTCACAATACGCTGACAAATTACATTGGAAACAACCTTGATTCAACCAGTTGTGCCCAGTGGGAACTGACTCACTGTTAGCAAAAAAAGACCGTTCTGATTTTCTTTTCCTTTCTGTTCTTTGCACACATCCAGAGCTCAGCCCCAGCTAGAGGGAGATGTTTTAGGAGGACCCGAGAGAAATCTGAGAAAAAATGTGGCCTTTTATATAAATATTTCATGCAATTCTATGACACTTTTACTCTCCATGATTGGAGACAATAGCAGCATCTTAAATACCAAAAAAATGAAAGGGTAGGCTACTCTGCTGACACTGGCAAACTGAGATCAATAAAAAAACGACCTTGTCTTTGAATGCAACCATCTAATCAAGGCCTATGAAAAGGGGAGACATATTGTAGACTATGACGTCCATCTACCCTGGAGGAGGAAATTATTGTCCCCAAAAAACTTTCCAGGAGCATGTGATAAAGACAGTGAATATGCGCACTCACCGGGGATATGGCCAATGCTATAGTGCCAGTAAGATAGGATACTGTTCGCTCAATAGCCTATTGCGAGTTCAGGATTTTGATAGCCTAACTAAAGACATGTCCGTTTCTTCTTTGTCTCCTCTCTTTTTTTCCCAGCCACCGTATTCTGAAATATTGCGATAGGCCTAGGCCTATTTTAGATGCTTTTCACTAACAGCCGCAAATCAACAATCAGCTATTTGATATGTTGTAAGTGCTACCCAAATTGTGTGCATCCCAACTGTAGGTTATACTCTGGCGATTTAAAACAATCCACAGTAAAACATTTTTAAAGAAGCTAATGATCTTCTGTGACTAAACCATGCTCTCTGGTGGATTTTATGTATTTTTGTATAAACAGAAGTAATTATATGGCAAGTTCAATTCCATTTAGCCTATGGGACACGACACCTATGACTGCTTGTCACTCAGAATACATGTTTCCCTTCCTATGCAGAGTGGTGACAGAAAAATAACCTCTCCCTCAACAAAACAAAGGAGCTGATCGTGGACTTCAGGAGACAGCAGAGGGAGCCGCATCCACATCAACGGGGCCGCAGTGGAGAAGATGAAAAGCTTGAAGTTTCTCTGCGTACATATCACTGACAATCTGAAATGGTCCACCCACACAGACAGTGTGGTGAAGAAGGCGCAACAGCACCTCTTCAACCTCAGGAGGCTGAAGAAATTCAGCTTGGCCCCAAAGACCCTCAGAAACGTTTACAGATGCACCATTTAGAGCATCCTGTCGGGCTGTATCACCGCCTGGTACGGCAACTGCACCGTCCGCAACCGCAGGGCTCTCCAGAGGGTGGTGCGGTCTGCCCAATGCATCAATAGGGGAACACTGCCCTCCAGGACATCTACAGCACCTGGTGTCACACGAAGGCCATGAAGATCATCAACGACCTCAGCCACCCGAGCCACGGCCTGTTCACCCCACTACCATCTAGAAGGTGAGGTCAGTACAGGTGAATCAAAGCTTGGAATGAGTGACTGAAAAACTTATATCTCAAGGCCATCAGACTGTTAAATAGTCACCACTAGCCGGCCTCCGCACAGTACCCTGCCCTGAACTTTAGTCACCGTCACTAGCCGGCTACTCTAACATGCACCTTAGAGGCTGCTAACCTATGTACATAGTCATTGAACACTGGTCACTTTAATAATGTTTACATACCATTTTACCCACTTCATATGTATATACTGTATTCTAGTCAATGCCTATCCTATTTAACCATTGCTGTACATATACTATTCTTCAGATATACTACATATTCTATCCATATAGTCTATACATCCCATCACACACATATATACATAGCATTCGGAAAAGTATTCAGACCCCTTCACTTTTTCCACATTTTTGTTACGTTACAGCCTTATTCTGAAACGGATTAAATTGTATTTCCCCCCCCCCTCATCAATCTACACACAATACCCCATAATGACAAAGCAAAAACAAGTTTGTACATTTTTGCAAATGTATAAAAATAAAAAACTTAAATATCACATTTACATAAGTATTCAGACCCTTTACTCAATACTTTGTTGAAGCACGTTTGTCAGCGATTACAGCCTCGAGTCTTCTTGGGTATGACGCTACAAGCTTGGCACACCTGTACTTGGAGAGTTTCTCCCATTCTTCTCTGCAGATCCTCTCAAACTCTGTCAGGTTGGATGGGGAGTGTCGCTGCACAGCAGCATTTCAGGTCTCTCCAGAGATGTTCGATCGGGTTCAAGTCCGGGCTCTGGCTGGGCCACTCAAGGACATTCAGAGACTTGTCCCGAAGCAACTCCTGCGTTGTCTTGGCTGTGTGCTTAAGGTCGTTGTCCTGTTGGAAGGTGAACCTTCGGCCCAGTCTAAGGTCCTGAGCTCTCTGGAGCAGGTGTACTTTGCTCTGTTCATCTTTGCCTCGATCCTGACCAGTCTACCAGTCCCTGCCACTGAAAAACATCCCCACAGCATGATGCTGCCACCACCACGCTTCACCGTAGGGAATGCTTGGCATTCAGGCCAAAGAGTTCAATCTTGGTTTCATCAGACCAGAGAATGTTGTTTCTCATGATCTGAGAGTCTTTAGGTGCCTTTTGGCAAACTCCAAGCGGGCTGTCATGTGCCTTTTACTGAGGAGTGGCTTCCATCTGGCCACTCTACCATAAAGGCCTGATTGGTAGAGTGCTGCAGAGATGGTTGTCCTTCTGGAAGGTTCTCCCATCTCCACAGAGGAACTCTGGAGCTCTATCAGAGTGACCATCGGGTTCTTAGTCACCTCCCTGACCAAGGCCCTTCTCCCCTGATTGCTCAGTTTGGACGGGAGGTCAGCTCTAGGAAGTGTCTTGGTGGTTCCAAACTTCTTCCATTTAAGAATGATGGAGGCCACTGTGTTCTTGGGGACCTTCAATGCTGCAGAAATGTGTTGGTACCCTTCCCAGATCTGTGCCTCGACACAATCCTGTCTCGGAGCTCTACGGACAATTTCTTCGACCTCATGGCTTGGTTTTTGCTCTGACATGCACTGTCAACAGTGGGACCTTATATAGACAGGTGGGTGCCCATCAAAATCATGTCCAATCAATTGAATTTACCACAGGTGGACTCCAATCAAGTTGTAGAAACATCTCAAAGATGATCAATGGAAACAGGATGCACCTGATCTCAATTTCAAGTCTCATAGCAAAGGGTCTGAATATTTATGTAAATAAGGTATTTCTGTTTTCAAGTGGTAATACATTTGCAAACATTTCTAAAAACCTGTTTTTGCTTCGTCATTATGGGGTATTGTGTGTAGATGAATGAGGAAAATAATTAATTGAATCAATTTTAGAATATGGCTGTAACGTAAGAAAATGTGGAAAAGGTCAAGGGGTCTGAATAGTTTCCGAATGTACTTTATATAATCCGACATTGCTCTGCCTAATAGTTCTATATTTCTTAATTCCATCCTTTACCTTTTTAGATTTGTGTGTATTGTTAGATATTCCTGCACTGTTGGAGCTAGGAACACAAGCATTTCGCTACACCCGCAATAACATCTGCTAAATATGTGTATGCGACCAATAAAATTGTATTTGATTTGATGGCTCTTGCAAATTGAATGCGCCTTGAGATGAATATTTATCTAGCATAGAACACACAACAACAGGCTGACTAGGGAAATAGGTAAACTATTCCATTATGGGGTTGTCTGATTTTTTAGCCTTGGAAAGTTACATCCTAACTGATAAAGTTTAGGATTTGAATTACTTTGCCAGCAGCTACAGTAGGCTACACTGCTGTTTGAGTTGAGGGCCCTGGTGGAGCGCATTATAGACTTATCTTATTCCCTTCAAGGGAAGTGTCAGAAAAAAAATCATGCAAGTCTGTGCCGTACATACAATGTAACATATGTTTTTTTGTTGTTGTTGAGAATACATTTATTTGGGAATGTATTTCGTAGAACAGACATACTTCTGTATTAGGCTGTCATCTCCAAAACGTCCATATGACGGAAATCTGTCGGAGTGACGGAGGACTTTAACCCCTGATTGTATCACTGGCTTCATGTATCACTATCTGCTATTGATTGAATCCCGTTCCAAGTCCTTTACTACAAAGTATAAAAAGTGTTTGGTACCTGGGAAGGGAGCTCCTCTTCTTATGGGACAGGGACTTAGTGGACCCTTGCTGAGAAAGAGGCATAAAAAGAGAGAACACATTACTAACGCTGTACAGAGTTCAAACCATAGAAGTAAGAATGATACTGAATAAAAAGAAGAAGAAACTACACTATGAAACAAAGATAAATGACATAAAGAATGATAGTAAAAAGCTTTGGAGCACCTTAAATGACATTTTGGGAAATAGGCAAACTCAACTCCATCATTCATTGAATCCGATGGCTCATTCATCACAAAACCAACTGATATTGCCAACTACTTTAATGATTTTTTTCATTGGCAAGATTAGCAAACTTAGGCATAACATGCCAACAACAATTGCTGACACTACACATACAAGTATATCTGACCAAATTATGAAAGACAAGCATTGTAAATCTGAATTCTGTAAAGTGAGTGTGGAAGATGTGAAAAAATGATTGTTGTCTATCAACAATGACAAGCCACCGGGGTCTGACAACTTGGATGGAAAATTACTGAGGATAATAGCGGAGGATATTGCCACTCCTATTTGCCATATTTTCAATTAAAGCCTACTAGAATGTGTGTGCCCCCAGGCTTGGAGGGAAGCAAAAGTCATTCCGCTACCTAAAAATAGTAAAGCCCCCTTTACTGGCTCAAATAGCCAACCAATTAGCCGGTTACCAACCCTTAGTAAACTATTGGAAAAAATGGTGTTTGACCAGATACAATACTATTTTCCAGTAAACAAATTGACAACAAACTTTCAGCATGCTTATAGAGAAGGACATTCAACAACAAGCACAGCACTTACACAAATGACTGATGATTGGCTGAGAGAAATTGATGATAAAAAGATTGTGGGGGCTGTTTTGTTAGACTTCAGTGCGGCTTTTGACATTATCGATCATAGTGTGCTGCTGGAAAAACGTATGTGTTATGGCTTTACTCCACCTGCTATTTTGTGGATACAGAGTTACCCGTCTAACAGAACACAGAGTGTGTTCTTTAATGGAAGCCTCTCCAACATAATTCAGGTAGAATCAAGAATTCCCCAGGGCAGCTGTCTAGGCCCATTATTTGTTTTAATCTTTACTAATGACATGCCACTGGCTTTGAGTAAAGCCAGAGTGTCTATGTATGCGGATGACTCAACACTATACATGTCAGCTACTACAGCAACTGAAATGACTGCAACACTTAACAAAGAGTTGCAGTTAGTTTCAGAGTAGGTGGCAAGGAATAAGGTAGTCCTAAATATTTCTAAAACTAAAAGCATTGTATTTGAGACAAATCATTCACTAAACCCTAAAACTCAACTAAATCTTGTAATAAATAATGTGGAAATTAAGCAAGTTGAGGTGACTAAACTGCTTGGAGTAACCCTGGATTGTAAACTGTCATGGTCAAAACATATTGATACAACAGTAGCTAAGATGGGGAGAAGTATGTCCATAATAAAGCTCTGCTCTACCTTCTTAACAGCACTATCAACAAGGCAGGTCCTACAGGCCCTAGTTTTGTCACACTTGGACTACTGTTCAGTCGTGTGGTCAGTTGCCACAAAAAAAGGACTTAGGAAAATTGCAATTGGCTCAGAACAGGGCAGCACGGCTGGCCCTTGGATGTACACAGAGAGCTAATATTAATAATATGCATGTCGATCTCTCCTGGCTCAAAGTGGAGGAGAGATTGACTTCATCACTACTTATGTTTATGAGATGTGTTGACATGTTGGATGCACCGAGCTGTCTGTTTGAGCTACTTGCGCACAGCTCGGTCACCCATGCATACCCCACAAGACATGCCACCAGAGGTCTCTTCACAGTCACCAAGTCCAGAACAGACAATGGGAGGCGCACAGTACTACATAGAGCCATGACTACATGTAACTCTATTCCACATCAAGTAACTGATGCAAGTAGTAAAATTTGATTTAAAAAACGGATTAAAAAAAGCACCTTATGGAACAGCGGGGACTGTGAAGCAACACAAACATAGGCGCAGACACCTGAATACACACACACTATACACACGGATTTCTGTACTGTAGATATGTGGTAGTGGTGGAGTAGGGGCCTGAGAGCACACAGTGTGTTGTGAAATTTGTGAATGTATTGTAATGTTTTTTAAATTGTATGAACTGCCTTAATTTTGCTGGAACCAAGGAAGAGTAGCTGCTGCCTTGGCAGCAGCTAATGGGGATCCATAATAAATACAAATGATACAGTGCATTCAGAAAGTATTCAGACCCCTTCACTTTTTCCACATTCTGTTACAGTACAGCCTTATTCTAAAATGGATGAAAATGGATGAAACCCCACAATGACAAAACAAAAACATGTTCAGAAATGTTTCCCCAAAAAATATCACATTTACATAAGTATTCAGACCCTTTACTCAGTACCTTGGCAGCGATTACAGCCTTGAGTCTTCTTGGGTATGACGCTACAAGCTTGGCACACCTGTATTTGGGGAGTTTCTCCCATTCTCTGCAGATCCTCTCAAGCTCTGTCAGGTTGGATGGGGAGCTTTGGTACACAGCTATTTTCAGGTCTCTCCAGAGATGTTCGATCGGGTTCAAGTCCGGGCTCTGGCTGGGCCACTCAAGGACATTCAGAGACTTGTCCCGAAGCCACTCCTGCGTTCTCTTGGCTGTGTGCTTAGGGTCGTTGTACTGTTGGAAGGTGAACCTTCGCCCCAGTCTGAGTTCCTGAGTGCTCTGGAGCAGGTTTTCATCAAGGATCTCTCTGTACTTTGCTCCGTTCATCTTTCCCTCGATCCTGACTAGTCTCTCAGTACCTGCTGCTGAAAAACATCCCCACAGCATGATGCTGCCACCACCATGCTTCACCTTAGGGATGGTGTCCAGGTTTCCTCAGGCCAAAGAGTTCAATCTTGGTTTTATCAGACCAGATAATCTGGTTTCTCATGGTCTGAGTCCTTTAGGTGCCTTTTTGCAAACTCCAAGCGGGCTGTCATGTGCCTTTTACTGAGGAGTGGCTTCCGTATGGCCACTCTACCATAAAGGCCTAATTGGTGGAGTGCTGCAGAGATGGTTGTCCTTCTGGAAGGTTCTCCCATATCCACAGAGGAACTCTGGAGCTCTGTCAGATTGACCATCGGGTTCTTGGTCACCTCCCTGACCAAGGCCCTTCTCCCCCGATTGCTCAGTTTGGCCAGGCGGCCAGGTCTAGGAAGAGTCTTGGTGGTACCAAACTTCTTCCATTTAAGAATGATGGAGGCCACTGCGTTCTTGGGGACTTTCAATGATGCAGACAATTTTTTGTACCCTTCCCCAGATCTGTGCCTCGACACAATCCTGTCTCGGAGCTCAGTTCCTTCGACGTCATGGCTTGGTTTTTGTTCTGTATTGTACTGTCAACCGTGGGACCTTATATAGACAGGTGTATGCCTTTCCAAATCATGTCCAATCAATTGAATTTACCACAGCTGGACTCCAATGAAGTTGTAGAAACATCAAGGATGATCAATGGAAACATGATGCACCTGAGCTCAATTTCGAGTCTCATAGCAAAGGGTCTGAATTAGGTTTCTGTTTATTATTTTTAATAAATGTGAATTTTTTTCTAAAAACCTGTTTTCACTTTGTAATTATAGGGTATTGTGTGTAGATTGCTGAGAAAAAATATATTTCATACATTTTAGAATAAGGCTGTAACTTAACAAAATGTGGGAAAAGTGAAGGGGTCTGAATACTTTCTGAATGCACTGTATATGAAATTATTATATGGCTCAAACCAACCAAAAGAAGGGATACGTACAGAGTAAAAACTGAGTAAAATGAATCCCCACCAGTTCTGGGGCTTGGACGCAGGTGGATGTCACCTGAAATACAGTACCAAATCTACACTCCAATACAAACACAGTTTTTGAATATAGTGTACTGTACTTCATTTGGATTCACAATGCAATATTGGAGTATAAAGGACCAAAAGATAATGCTTTCATAATGACGGAAACTAAATTATCTCTCTCTCTCTCTCGTCAATATTGCCAAAGCAACAATCGATACAATATACATTGTAATAAAATAATTTATTATAATAACATAGTGATATAAAAAAAGTACTTATAAAAACAATAAAATGGTAACAGTGAATAGTAATACTACACGTACCACTACTATTTGGAGTAATAATCACGACAATAATACTAACTAATAATAATAATAATAATAATAACAATAATAACAATAATACTAAAAACAAGTAAGTTACTACTTACTATGCAGATATTATTATTGTGTCCCCCAAAGGCTATGGCAGGCAAATACATCTTTGGCTGCAAGAAGAGCGATCCTTCGTCCATTAGTATTTTTTTATTTGGTTTAATAGGACAATTTCTAACCAAGAGGTTAATCTGCGAAAAATGAATCTCTTGGTGAGGAATATTTCTCACAGTAGAGGAAAAAGTGCATCTCTGTCTCTACCTCCCCTGTCGTGCAGTGACCACATACACGCTCCTTTTTGGGTAGCCATGTCTTTTTATGTCTGCCGGTTTCTTTTGCAATTGGTGGTCACTCAGCCTGTACTTGGTAAGGATCTGTCTCTGCGTCGTAGCTCTGATCTCGGCCAATTCATATTCTCTGTTTAGGGCCAGATAGCAATTTAGTTTGCTTTGAGATTTTATTTCCTTTTTCCAATGTTGTAAATATGAGTCCTTTGATTCATGATTCAGGATTTTGTTTATTTTTATTCCTTGTTTTGAAGCAGTAATGGTGTCAGCTTGGTTGGTTAGGTCCAACACCAGCTGACAAGGGCTCGTTTCTGGGCTCAACTCTTGAGTTTGAAGTGCTTTAAATGGGAGGCTTGAATTTGGACTTCAATTTAGGTGTAGCCAACATTTTAATTATATTTTTTGTATTTTCCTTACCAATTACCTAATTCACCCCTACATGCATTAGTTGGTGTATTTCATTGGACTTGTAGAATTTACTGACAGAATTCTGCAGATAGCGCTTCAATTGGATGTTTGTCCCACATTTTAAAGTTCAGTTAATTGAGTGGCCTCTAAACCTCACTTCCGTAAAGAGCTATTGGTAGGATTACACTGTCAAATATTTTGGTCCATTGAATAATTCAATTTTTATTGTATACAATGCTCTGCAATAAAAATCATCAGCATATAGCAGGTATTTTACCTCTGTCAAATAGCGTGAGTACTGGGGCAGCAGAAGTGTCCAACATGTCTGCTATTTCATTTATATAAATGTTGAATAGGTTTGGACTAAAACTTCAGCCTTGTCTCACACCTCGACCAATAATGATGTTTTTTGGTTTTAGATTTTTATTGCACACTTGTTTTCTGTGTACATACATTTTATTAACACATTCACCAACTTTGGAGAATCATTCTATTTGGTGTGCTTTTTAATTGTCATGTGTAAGGTGTATATTTGGTCAGTAGTACGATGATTAGGGAGAAAGCCAATTTGACATTTACTTATTAATTTTCTTGAAGGTTTGGATTCTTAAATTCAAAATGCTACAGAAAACATTTCAAGTTGCTGCTTACATAGATTCCCCTGTCATTATTGGGGTATGATTTGTCTCCACTTTTTTGGATAGGGGAGATGAGCCCCTGGTTCCAGACATCAAGAAAGCAGCCAGAAGTAAGTACCATGTTGAACAATTTAAGCACAGCATTTTGCAACTCAGGTGTGCTTGTTCACATCTCATTTCTGATGTTATCTAGACCCCAAACCTTCTTTGGTTTTTACAGATTTTTGATTTTAATTTAGTTATTGTTGGGTTATTGGGTAATCTAATGGATTTGGGATGCTTTTAATAACTGATTCAAGGATGTTAGATTTTTCTTGAATTTCTAATTGGTTATGTTGTAAGTCTTTTTGTGTGATATTTTTATATAGATTATCAAAATACGTTTTCCAAATTCCTCCATCTTATATGGGTAATTCTTGTGGTTTTGTTGTGCTTAAATTGTTCCACATATACCAGAAATGATTTTGGTCAATTGCGTTTTCAATTTCATCAAGTGTCTTAATGGTGAAATAAAATGTATTACATTTCAGTGTATGTTTATACTGTTTCAGAGTTTCAAAATATTCATAGTGGAGTGCTGGGTTGTTTTGCTGCTTATGTTTTTCATTTGACATTTTGCTTAAGTGTTTTCTAATTGTTATCAACATTTATTTCAGAAACGTTTAGTTTTTTGTTTCTGATGTTGCATTTCTTTGGTTTTCTCAGATTTGCTTTAAATGCTGCTTTTTGGAATATGAAACTGATGTCTTTAGTAGCCTAATTGACACCTTTATTGTTTTGGTATTGTGTGTTATTGAAGACCTGAATAGACTTAATAATTTGATTTGAGTTTATTGTTTCAATTAATTTCTCTGCACTGTTTGGAGTCCATTTGTATGATTGGTTCAGGTTGTACAGCTTATTGGGCTGCTTTTTCTAATCAGTCTTGCTGGTAAAAAACAAAAATCAGAAACACGTTGATCTGACTGGGATCTGACAATGGTGTCTGTGGTCTGAAAGTGAATGCACTAATGGTGGAGAGGTCCATGTCAATGATGGCATTATCGACTACACTTGTCCCAAGAGCTGAGCAGTAAGTCAACCGAGGTTTTCTGTCTGTAATAAAGCCCTTTTGTGGGGAAAAACACATTCTGATTTGCTGGGCCTGGCTCCCCAGTGGGTGGGCCTATGCCCTCCAAGGCCCACCCATTGTTGCATCCCTGCCCAGTCATGTGAAATCCATCGATTAGGGCCTAATGAATTTATTTCAATTGACTGATTTCCTTATATGAACTGTAACTCAGTAAAATCTTTGAAATTGTTGCATGTTGTGTTTATAGTTTTGCTCAGTATAGATGCAGGAGTTGACATTAGAATTGCACCGGAGAAGATGGCTGCCGTTTTACCAATTGTGCTATTTTGTGGGGTTTTTTCTAGTTGTTTGTAACTTATTTTGTACATAATGTTTCTGCCACTGTCTCTTATGACCGAAAAGAGCTTCTGGATATCAGAACAGCAATTACTCACCTTGAACTGGACGAAGATTTTTGTTTTAACGAGTCGGACGCAAAGGATTTACTTGAGCTATCCGACCAGGCCAAAATCCCTGTCATTGTCATGAAGAGAAGACGCCGATACAGGGGACGCAGGTCGGGGTGCCTTGTGAGAATTTGTCGGCGAGGGGGTAACCCGCCTCTACCATCCGTTCTATTGGCCAACGTGCAAACATTGGAGAATAAACTGGATGAGCTCCGTTCAAGACTATCCTACTAATGGAACATTAAAAACTGTAATATTCTATGTTTCACCGAGTCGTGAATGAACGACGACATGGATAATATACAGTTGGCTGGTTTTTCCGTGCATCGGCAAGACAGAACAGCTGCCTCCGGTAAGACAATGGGTGGCGGTCTGTGTCTATTTGTCAATAACAGCTGGTGAGCAAAATCAAATATGAAGGAAGTCTCTAGGTTTTGCTCGCCTGAGGTAGAGTATCTCATGATAAGCTGTAGACCACACTATTTACCAAGAGAGTTTTCATCTATATTTTTCGTAGCTGTCTCTTTACCACCACAAACCGATGCTGGCACTAAGACCGCACTCAACGAGCTGTATAAAGCCATAAGCAAACAAGAAAATACTAATTCAGAGGCGGCGCTCCTAGTGGCCGGGGACTTAATGCAGGGAAACGTAAATCCGTTTGACCTAATTTCTACCTGTATGTTACATGTGCAACAAGAGGAAAATGCATTCTAGACCACCTTTACTCCACACACAGATACGCATACAAAGCTCTCCCTCGCCCTCCATTTGGCAAATCTGACCATAATTCTATGCTCCTGATTCCTGCTTACAACTAAAGCAGGAAGTACCAGTGACTCGCTTAATACGGAAGTGGTCAGATGACGTGGATGCTACGCTACAGGACTGTTTTGCTAGCACAGACTGTAATATGATCCGGGACTCATCCGATGGCATTGAGGAGTACACCACATCAGTCACTGGCTTCATCAATAAGTGCATCGATGACGTTGTCCCCACAGTGACCGTACGTACATACCCCAACCAGAAGCCATGGATTACATGCAACATCCGCACTGAGCTAAATGGTAGAGCTGCCACTTTCAAGGAGCGGGACTCTAAGCTGGACGCTTATAAGAAATCCCGCTATGCCCTCAGACGAACCATCAAACAGGCAAAGTGTAAATACAGGACTAAGATTGAATCCTACTACACCGGCTCCGATGCTCGTCGGATGTGGCAGGGCTTGCAAACTATTACGGACTACAAAGGGAAGCCCAGCCGCGAGCTACCCAGTGACACAAGCCTACCAGACGAGCTAAATTACTTCTATGCACGCTTCGAGGCAAGCAACACTGAAGCATGCATGAGAGCACCAACTGTTCCGGACGACTATGTGATCATGCTCGCCGTAGCTGATGGGAGCAAGACCTCAACATTCACAATGCCGCAGGGCCAGATGGATTACCAGGACATGTACTCCGAGCATGCGCTGACCAAATGGCAAGTGTCTTCACTGACATTTTCAACCTGTCCCTGGCCGAGTCTGTAATACCTACATGTTTCAAGCAGTCCACTATATTGCACTCAACACTGCCCTTTCCCACCTGGACAAAAGGAACACCTATGTGAGAATGCTGTTCATTGACTACAGCTCAGCGTTCAACACCATAGTGCCCCCAAAGCTCATCACTAATCTGGGACTAAACACCTCACTCTGCAACTGGATCCTGGACTTCCTGACGGTCCGCCCCCAGGTGGTAAGGGTAGGCAACAACACATCTGCACGTTGATCCTCAATACGGGGGCCCCTCAGGGGTGCCTGCTTAGTCCCCTCCGGTACTCCCTGTTCACCCATGACTGCATGGCCAAGCCCCACTCCAACACCATCATTAAGTTTGCCGACGACAACGTGGTAGGCCTGATCACCGATAACAATGAGACAGCCTACAGGGAGGATGTCAGAGACCTGGCAGTGTGGTGCCAGGACAACAACCTCTCCCTCAATGTGATCAAGACAAAGGAGATGATCATGGACTACAGGAAAAGGAGGGCTGAGCATTCTCATCGACGGGACTGTAGTGGAGCAGGTTGAGAGCTTCAAGTTCCTTGGTGTCCACATCACCAACAAACTAACATGGTCCAAACACACCAGGATAGTCGTGAAAAGGGCACGACAACGCCTATTCCCCCTCAGGAGACTGAAAAGATTTGGAATGGTCCTCAGATCCTCAAAAAGTTATACAGCTGTACCATCAAGAGCATCCTGACTGGTTGCATCACCGCCTGGTATGGCAACTGCTCGGCCTCCGACCGCAAGGCGCTCCAGAGGGTAGTGCATACGGCCCAGTACATCACTGGGGCCAAGCTTCCCGACATCCAAGACCTCTATACCAGGCGGTGTCAGAGGAAGGCCCTAAAAATTGCCAAAGACTCGAGCCACCCTAGTCATAGACTGTTCTCTCTACTACCGCACGGCAAGCGGTACCGGAGCGCCAAGTCTAGGTCCAAAATCCTTAACAGCTTCTATCCCCAAGCCATAAGATTGCTGAACAGCTAATCAAATGGCTACCCGGACTATTTGCATTGAGCAATAGATGCTCTGCTCTCCATCTTGAACTGTTTAATCAATTAAAGCTCATTCTCTCTGTGCTCTCTGCTTCGACTAGAGAGAGGGTGTTGAGGAAACGTTGTATAGCAGGTGTTCTTGGTGTTGTAGGCATGTTTCTTGGTTGTGTCTACTGCAGGTGAGGTAGGTAGGGGGACATTAAGGGCTTCTTGCTGGGTCACAGAGGCTGTTGGGGGTGTTGGGCCTGCTCTTCTCTATCATCTCCCTCCTTTACTCTTTCCTCAGCTTCTGAGATGAGCTCAGCTTCTACTTTTAGGGTAGCAAACACATTCTCAAAAGCCTGGAGGCTTGAATCATTGCCTTGCATCAATACAGTTCCACTATTGTATAGGTTGACTGTTTGATATGTGTTGTTCTGGTTAGCTTTTTTTTTAAATTCTGATCTGACAGCCTTGGCTGATGCCTCTCTTTTTTTGTGAAATGGAAATGGTTGCAAATAACCATTTTCCATATGTGCCCTCGTTTGATGTTAAATATAACATTTGCTCTGCTTTTACAGCTGGTAAAATCTGCAAACATGGTTGTGTCCATTATTACATTTACATTTTAGTCATTTAGCAGACGCTCTTATCCAGAGCGACTTACAGTTAGTGAGTGCATACATTATTTTATTTTTCATACTGGCCCCCCGTGGGAAGCGGACCCACAACCCTGGCATTGCAAACGCCATGCTCTACCAACTGAGCTACATCCCTGCCGGCCATTCCCTCCCCTACCCTGGACGACGCTGGGCCAATTGTGCGCTGCCCCATGGGTCTCATTATCAAAACTTTGAAACTTTTCTTAGCTTTCTCCATCTGGTGTCTGGTAGGTAAACAATTTCCATAGCAACACTGGAGACGTTGGCTACAATGTTTTTTTGTCTCCCATTCAGTCTTGCAGTTTTCCTTCATTAAAAAAAATGTAAAACATGTACATTTCAATATTTATAGGAACACATTTTTTCAGCTGCTGCTGCTCAATTTTGGAACTCTCTCTCACCCTTTTCAGACATGCGGAATGTGTCGCCTTGAAAGGGCCTCGGCTACGGCATGTTTGTCCGTAAGGGTACACTACGGCTTTTTAAATGCAGACACAAAACCTTCTCTGGAGATAGTTTCGAAGCGCCACTGAACAAGCATTTTACTTGTCTGTAAAGGAATGCCGCTTCTGACTAATGTCCATCACTAACATAAAAAAACAGCATAAAAACAACACAGCACTGCAACACGTCAATCAGCAACATTTAACGTCGTCAGGGAAACAATACAGAACATTTTATGCCAGAGCAGAATTCTACTGTCTGAAAAGGTACACACGCGGCACAAAATTGTCTGAAGGTTATCAATTGTCGCTATCGACACGTTACTGTAGAGGCTTTCTATGTCTGTAAAGCAGGGGTCACCAACCGGTCGATCATCAAACATTTCTGTAAAAAAAACAACGACAAAGCCTTGCGTTCCTATTTTTGTATTTGTTTCACGCTGTTAGCGGTAGGTGCAGTTGATTCAGCAATCCTAGCGCAGGGAAGGCAAAGTGTTCCCATTTTTAACCATTTCATGTGTCTGAAGGTAGAACTCCGCCTACCCGGCAGGCCCAAAGAGCAAATCAAGTGCACCTATAGGTCTACCGCTTGTCAATCAGATCACCGTGTCTGCACAGTTTCCTCGAGCCATAGACTGTAAAAAGAAGCCTGGAGGGCACAGCAAAGTCGATACTGTGAGATTTCAAAACTTTTAAAACCATGACTAGAGAGAGACTCAACGAATAGAGCAAAGAGCTGCTGTTTTTATGAGTTCATGTTTAAGTTGTTTCAGCACTGTCAACACTTCGTTCAACACTTTTATAAGCCATCAAATGCGCATTCTCCCTACTTCCTCTCACGCTACAACCAGCACTATAGCTGCAATAATTGAGTATAGCAAAGTGTTTCTATAAGCTTGCATTGTTAGAGTAACAACATTAATTAGTGCCCGAGGCAGAAATAATGAAATGAGACTTGAGTTTCGCCATCAGCCGGAAGACTGCCCCCTTTTCTCAGAGGAGGGAGAACGGAGGGACATTGAGTCGGGTGCAGAGAGCATGTGAGCAGAGTTGAGCGATTGGAAATCCCGCTCATCGCTCATGGAGCGGTGAGTCCTTTCCTACCGCTCTTCTAAAAACCTTTCCGCACTCACAGGGGAAAAAACTGCCTTCACTCCATTCATTAAAATCACAATTTAACCAACACCAATATATTTGTGTGACTACCTGGACCTACCAATTGGTTTTTAAGTATTGAAACCAAACCATATGGATTTGAATTAAATGTATTTGAATAAACATGAAAAGGTGAATGTAAGAAGCAAACCTTATTTCAAATAGGCTACATGTCATTTTAAAAAGCATATAAACACTCTAAATAGGTCAGGAGCCAGACAGGGAGCTTAAGAAGGGAAAATTAATTATTTAAGCTATATTATTTCAAAGAAATACATTGTGAAGCATTTGCGAGTGCGACACAATAGGCTGGTAGGGACATAAAACAGTTAATTGTTTAAATCATTATAGTCTATACATTGTGCATATACGATGTGACTTACTTAGAATTCAATACAAATTAAACTAAAAATGACTTATTAGTATCTTTAAATTCATTTTTAGAAACACGGGTTTGGCCAGAGTCTGTGGCTTTATTTTCATGCGATGGTGCCTGGAGAGCAGGCCAGCAGTGGAGAATTCTTCTCCACACTTCCAGAGCCACTGGGGATGCTAAACACCCTTTTGGCCACTCATGCTAGGTTGGGCAGAGATGCAGAGTTGTTTTTTAAAACTTTTCTATAGGTAGGCCTAAAGGATTTTAGGCAAAATAACCGAATCAAAATGGAAAACTCCTTGAATGTGGGAACATGCCAGGCCTATTGGGCCAAAATCAATTATGGCCTATTGTATAGATAATAGAACAAAAATGAACGTTTAAGAGATCTGATTTTTTGTTTATAAATACTTTTCTACAATGACACACTTTGTTATCTACCCACCTCATTCCTTTCTTTTAGCATGTGCACGTAGTAGGTACACCATCATGCTTTTGGAATACGTGTCTTTTATGATTCTTTAGTTGTGGACACTACATCACCGCACTCCCTCTCTTGCTCTTGGTCCTCATCTTTGTAAGTCACGTTGATTTAGCACCTGTGTGTTTTATCGGTTTCTTTATGAAAATATTTAGCGAACTCCATGACAGTAGCTAAAGCAAGGGGCTATAGCAGCACACAAGTAGACTACAAATGCATGCTGGGGCGGGCATGCCCTGAGATCGTGAAGTAAGCCCTACTGGAGCGGGCGAGAAGGCCGACGCTCCAGCCTTTGGGAATCTCGCTCCACACTCCAGTCAAATTGGGCACTCTCTGCTCCTCGCTCCGCTCCAGCTCCGCTCACTCTGGTCGGATATAATAATAATAATATACCATTTAGCAGACGCTTTTATCCAAAGCGACTTACAGTCATGCGTGCATACATTTGTGTATGGGTGGTCCCGGGGATCAAACCCACTACCTTGGCGTTACAAGCGCCATGCTCTACCAGCTGAGCTACAGAGGCAGACACCGCTAGCTTTGATGCAACCAAGACAGTTTTTAAACAGCACAATGTAAAAACTCTGTAACAACGCTTGGTTGCATCAAAGCTACCTCACCGCTGTTCTTTCCCTTTTTTAAATGATCTAAGAAGAACAACGTTGACAGGGCAATTCAAGCATAGCTAATTTGCAGTGATAATGTATTGGGCCTATAGCCTACTGCACAAACCTCACGCTACGTAACTGTTAATGCCTTACGTTTTTTAAGTCAGGTTTAAAAATAAATCTGAGAGGTAAATCTCGGCTTGCATTTTGACTCAGGTTGGTGACCACTTCTGTAAAGGGCATCTCTCTCAACAGCTGCAGTCATGCTGTCATCACAGATTTCCCCTTCCACATGACAGACCAGTGGAGCATGACGGCAGACTGTCACACACACACGTATGCACTGCACAGATATAGAAACTGGAGAGAGGCAGAAATGAATGTCTAAACTGCTCTGTAGTCCTACACTGAAATGTGCCATATACTATACTTCACAACATGTGATAATACAGAAAGATATGTAGTCATCAATGTTCAATGAATGAGGCACAGTAAGTGAGCAAGTGCGCACTGCACACAATGGAGAGAATGACAGCCCTTATATCATAGGGGATTCTGTTTGGTATTTCACACTTGTTTAGCCTGTTTGTCTTTTTTTATTTAACTAGGCAAGTCAGTTAAGAACAAATTCTTTTTAAAATGACAGCCTACCCCGGCCAAACCCGGACAACGCTTGGCCAATAGTGCGCCGCCCTATGGGACTCCCAATCACGGCCCGGATTGTGAAATAGCCTGGAATCGAACCAGGGTCTGAAGTGACACCTCTAGCATTGAGATGCAGTGCCTTAGACCGCTGCGCCACTCGTCTAACAATCTATTAACATAATTCAATCTGCTTATTGTTTATTGTCCCACTATCCCTCCTTATCTGAGAAAGGGAGGAGAGGAAGGGGAGTACAGAGTAGGGCCAAAATAAACACACACCAGATTACATCTCCCTCCCTAGCTGGCAATTAGACAGGCGTTTCCTGAATGCACAAAGGCCTCCACTTCATTCCACAAACGTATGAACAAATGTGAAGTTAGAAAACAAACAAGCCAATATACATTTACGAAAGCACGCAAGCACAAAATGCACACTGTCCCACACAGACACACACAATAACACTATTTATTAGGCCATTTTATTAGGTACACCCATCTAGTACCGGGTTGGACCCCCCTTTGCCTCCAGAACAGCCTGAATTCTTCACGGCATGAATTCTACAAGGCGTGGCCTTCAAACGCTGCTCAATTGGTATCAAGGGACCTAACGTGTACCAGGAAAACATTCCCCACACCATTACACCACCAGCCTGTCCCGTTGACACCAGGCAGGATGGGGCCATGGACTCATGCTGCTTACGCCAAATCCTGACTCTGCCATCAGCATGACACAACACGAACTGGGAATTGTTGGACCAGGCGATGCTTTTCCACTCCTCAGTTGTCAAGTGTTGGTGATCGCGTGCCCACTGGAGCCGCTTCTTCTTGTTTTTAGCTGATAAGAGTGGAACCTGGTGTGGTCATCTGCTGCAATAGCCCATCCGTGACAAGGACCGATGAGTTGTGTGTTCAGAGATGCCGTTCTGCACACCACTGTTGTACTGCGCTGTAATTTGACTGTTTGTGGCCCGTCTGTTAGCTTGCACGATTCTTGCCATTCTCCGTTGACCTCTCATCAACGAGCTGTTTTCGCCCACAGCATTGCCGCTGACTAGATGTTTTTTGTTTGTCGCATCATTCTCGGTAAACCCTAGACACTGTCGTGTGTGAAAAGCCCAGTAGGCCGGCCGTTTCTGAGATACTGGAATCGGCCCACCTAGTACCGACGATCATACCCCACTCAAAGTCGCTTAGGTCACTCGTTTTGCCCATTCTAACGTTCAATCGAACAGTAACTGAATGCCTCGATGCCTGTCTAACTGCTTTATATAGCAAGCCACGGCCACGTGACTCACTGTCTGTAGGAGCGAACCATTTCCGTGAACGGGGTGGTGTACCTAATCAACTGGCAACAGAGTGAATGTTCGTGTGTGTACAGTATGTCTTCTTCTATGCATCGTCGTGTGTGTGTTTTATTCTATGTGTGTGTCCTTGTGTGAGTCTGGAATGAAGAGGAGGCCTCAGTCACACGCACACAAGCTGTGTACCAGTTTTAAGAAATCAATACCATATGGATAAGTGCTGTTGTTTTACAGACTACTGCACACGTGTCAATATCAGTGGACCACATTGTACAGTACAAAGCAGCCACAGTAACATACGGACCCTGACTGAGCACAGAGGAATGATATTATACCCATGTTACCATGTAAACTCACATCTGCCATTTTGTGATGAATTTAACTAAATCTAATCTTTGTTTCAGACACAATGCAGATGACTGGACTGAAAACATGTCAGGGAAAAATGTGAAGATGTGAAACTAAACTGGGAGTCAGGGAGAGAAGACCAGAAACAAGAGCAGAGAGGGGGACAGGGAGTGAGGGATGGAGGGGAAGAGAGAGAGAGAACGCAAGAGAGAGGAGATGGAGATATAGAGAGATTTATACAGTGCATTCGGAAAGTATTCAGACCCCTTGACCTTTTTCACATTTTCATACGTTACAGCCCTCGTCAATCTACACACAATACCCCATAATGACAAAGTGAAAACAGGTTTGTAGAAACTTTTGCAAATTTATAAAAAAATAAAAAACAGAAATACCTTATTTACATAAGTATTCAGACCCTTCAGACAGTGCATGTCAGAGCAAAAACCAAGCCATGAGGTCGAAGGAATTGTCCGTAGAGCGCCGAGACAGGTTTATGTCGAGGTACAGCTCTGGGGAAGGGTACCAAAAAATTTATTCAGCATTGAAAGTCCCCAAGAACACAGTGGCCTCCATCATTCTTAAATGGAAGAAGTTTGGAACCACCAAGACTCTTCCTAGAAACTGAGTAATCGGGGGAGAAGGGCCTTGGTCAGGGAGATGACCAAGAACCCGATAGTCACTCTGACAGAGCTCTAGAGTTCCTCTGTGGAGATGGAATAACCTTCCAGAAGGACAACCATCTCTGCAGCACTCCACCAATCAGGCCTTTATGGTAGAGTGGCCAGACGGAAGCCACTCCTCAGTAAAAGGCACATAACAGCCCACTTGGAGTTTGCCAAAACGCACCTAAAGACTCTCAGACCATGATAAGCAAGATTCTCTGGTCTGATGAAACCAAGATTGAACTCTTTGGCCTGAATGCCAAGCGTCACGCCTGGAGGAAACCTGGCACCATCCCTACTGAGAAGCATGGTGGTGGCAGCATTGTGCTGTGGGGATGTTTTTCAGCGGCAGGGACTGGGAGACTAGTCAGGATCGAGGGAAAGATGAACGGAGCAAAGTACAGAGAGATCCTTGATGAAAACCTGCTCCAGAGCACTCAGGATCTCAGACTGGGGTGAAGGTTCACCTTCCAACAGGACCATGACCCTAAGCACACAGCCAAGAGAAAACAGGAGTGGCTTCTGGACAAGTATCTGAATGTCCTTGAATGGCCCAGCCAGAGCCCCGACTTGAACCCGATCGAACATCTCTGGAGAGGCCTGAAAATAGCTGTGCAGCGACGCTCCCCATCCAACCTGACAGAGCTTGAGAGGATCTGCAGAGAAGAATGGGACAAACTCCCCAAATACAGGTGTGCCAAGCTTGTAGCGTCATACCCGAGAAGACTTGAGGCTGTAATCGCTGCCAAGGGTGCTTCAACAAAGTACTGAGTAAAGGGTCTGAATACTTATGTAAATATTATATTTCAGCTCTTTATTTTTAATAACTTTGCTAAAATTTATAAAAAACGTTTTTTGCTTTGTCATTTTGGGGTATTTTGTGTAGATTCATGAGGGGGAAACACAATGCCTTCAGAAAGTGTTCATATCCCTTGACTTATTCCACATTTTGTTGTGTTACAGCCTGAATTCAAAATGGATGATATATTATTTTTATTTCACCCATCTACACACAATACCCCATAATGACAAAGTGCAAACATGTTTTTATAAATGTTAGCAAATGTATTGAAAATGAAATACAGAAATATCTAATTTACATAAGTATTCACTTCCCTGAGTCAATACTTTGTAGAAGCACCTTTGGCAGCAATTACAGCTGTGAGTCTTTCTGGGTAAGTCTCTAAGAGCTTTCCACACCCGGATTGTGTTACATTTGCCCATTATTCTTCTTACAAAATTCCCCAAGCTCTGTCAAAATTGGTTGTTGATCATTGCTAGACAACCATTTTCAGGTCTTGCCATAGACTTTCAGGTAGATTTAAGTCAAACTGTAACCCAGCCACTCAGGAAAATGCACTGTCTTCTTGGTAAGCAACTCCTGTGTAGATTTGGCCTTGTGTTTTAGGTTATTGTCCTGCTGAAAGGTGAAATCATCTCCCAGTGTCTGGTGGAAAGCAGACAACCACGTTTTCCTCTAGGATTTTGCCTGTGCTTAGCTCCATTCCGTTTCTTTTTTATCCTGAAAAACTCCCCAGTCCTTAACAACTACCAGCATACCCATAATATGATTCAGCCACCACTATGATTGCAAATAGTGGTACTCAGTAATGTGTTGTATTGGATTTGCCCCAAACATAACACTTTGTATTCAGGACAAAGTTAATTTCTTTGCCACATTTTTGGAAGTATTACTTTAGTGCCTTGTTGCAAACAGGATGCATGTTTTGGAATATTTTTATTCTGTACAGGCTTCCTTCATTTCACTCTGTCCATTAGGTTAGTATTGTGAAGTAACTACAATGTTGTTGATCCATCCTCAGTTTTTTTCCTATCACAGCCATTAAACTCTGTAACTGTTTTAAAGTCACCATTGGCCTCATGGTCAAATCCCTGAGCGGTTTTCCTTCCTCTCCGGCAACTGAGTTAGGAAGGACGCCTGTATCTTTGTAGTGACTGAGTGTATTTATACACCATCCAAAGTTGAAATAATAACTTCACCAAGCTCAAAGGGATATTCAATGTCTGTTTTTTCTTATTTTTAACAATAGGTGCCCTTCTTTGCGAGGCATTGGTACAAAGATGTGGTAGTCATTATAAAATCATGTTAAACACTATTATTGCACACAGAGTGAGTCCATGCAATTTATTTGACTTGTTAAAACTTGTTAAGCACATTTTTACTCCTGATCTTATTTAGGCTAGCCATAACAAAGGAGTTGAATACTTATTGACTCAAGACATTTCAGCTTTTCATTTTTATTAATTTGTAAACATTAGAAAAACATAATTCCACTTTGACATTATGGAGCCAATGATTTAAAAACAAATCTACATTTAAACCATTTAAAATTCAGGCTGTAACACAACAAGATGTGGAGGGGTGTGAATACTTTCCCACCATGAAGCATGGAGGAGGAGGTGTGATGGTGCTTTGCTGGTGAAGAGGCAACTCTCCCTCTCTAGGCAGAGTTGCAAAGAAAAAGCCATATCTCAGACTGGCCAATAAAAAGAAAAGGTTAAGATGGGCAGTCTGAGATATGGCTTTGTCTTTGCAACTCTGCCTAGAAGGTCAGCATCCCGGAGTTGCCTCTTCACTGTTGACGTTGAGACTGGTGTTTTACTGTAGATAAATAAATAAGAAAGAGAGAGAGAGCGAGAGAGAGAGAGAGACAGAGAGAGAGAGAGAGAGAGAGAGAGAGAGAGAGAGAGAGAGAGAGAGAGAGAGAGAGAGAGAGAGAGAGAGAGAGAGAGAGAGAGAGAGAGAGAGAGAGAGAGAGAAAGCGAGAAAGTCAGAATCAAAGACGAAGAGAGAAAAAAGGGAAGAGAAGAGAGAGGGGGTTGAACAGGATATGAGAGAGAGATGAAAGAGATGAAACAATGAGAGAAAAACAAATATTAGAGAAAGAGATTAAAATATATATATATATTTCATCTTTTAAATGTTTTGGGTGTTCTATTCACTGAGAGACATTAACTAACAATGCTCCAAGATGCCATTATAAAAAGTGATTGTAGAGATTAGGTGTGTGAATGTTAAAACGTTTAAACAAAATTGGGATCCTTAACGTTAAGAAAAAGATAAAAAAATCCCCCACAAAATTAAAATCACAGTGTAGTTATCACAAAACATATTATTTTCTGTGTTATAGCCTAACTAGACGATAGGCTATAAAGGCTTTGGGTAAGTTGTGTAATTTAAAAGGTAGACTCAAAGATACAGTATGAAGTAGATGCAGAAAGTAAACAGCATAGTGGGTAAATTTCCGCAACAACTAAGAATGGTGAAGAGCCAGGCTCTGGTGCCCTGGATACCACGCTGTGAACAGCGAACCCGTGCACAGATACTGTGTGTGAGCAAAGTGTTGCTCACTCATCTCAATATCCTAACCTATAGAGCCCCACAGTGGAGATGTCATAATACCCAGACCCTTGGGGTCAAACAGGGAAATGGTTCCAATCATTTTCCCACCATACATTTTTCCCAGAGGGAATTTTAGAAACACTTAAAATAAGGATGTTTTGATAACCATGTAAATCTCTCTCGGGCAAGGTGACTTTTATCAGTATATTCGGCTCCATTTACTTTCAGATCCGAAAATACTAATTAGCATCAAAGTAGATATCATGCAAGACTACAAATCCCTGCAAGATCCTGCACGTCATCTCTAGCTGACACTAATGCTAACAGGTATTGTGTGAATTAAAAACTTGTAGACAATTTATAAATGACTAAATTTAGCTAACATTAGATAGTTAATCCAGAGATTCTTTGCCTCTATTCGGCAGTTTCATCCAGATCATCATGGCATTTGTAGTTCTTTATGATAGCCACAAATACAAACAAATATATTGATAAAAGTCAACTTGTCCTAGAGACATTTACACGGTTTTCAAAACGTCATGCCAGGGTAAGCCTACGCGAAACACAGCCAATATTTTAAGTGTTTCTAAAAGCCCCTATGAGAAAAATGAATGGTGGAAAAACGATTGGAGTCATTTCATTGTTTGACCGCTAGGTATTAAGTGTATTATGACTCATACCGTGGTACTCTATTAATTGATGATAGGTCCTGCTTTACTGAAGTTGCCAGACATTGCAAGCCAAGAAATTGCGACATACAGCATTCCATTGCGAGATACAGCTCTTGATTGCCGATAGATATGCCTAGTGCACGGTTCTGACTGTCTGCCCGGTGGCCGACCTGCCTATACTGTGCCCCTCCCCTCTCTCTCCGTCCTTCGCTCGTTATGAAAGATGTGAGTGTTTGTGTTCTCGGATGTACGGCAACTAATCAGTCTCCTCTGTTCCAAAAGTACTGAATCTTAGGAGTCGATTCTTAGCGGAATCGAATCTTGACACTCAGAAATGGGAGTCGACTCTCCACCACTACGTCATCATCGTTAACAGTTGGAAAAATGGCAGAGAAAGGCAAGCGACAGCAGCAAAGTCCTGTATGGCAATACTTCGAGAAGTTAAATGAGAAGGAAATGCTAACTTTGTGAGGTGGAATTGAGGTACAGTAATGGTAGTACAGGTGCAATGCTTAACCATCTGAAAGGGATACACTGTGAGACCAAAACCGTTGCTGGCAGCAGAACAGCTGCAATGTGAATTCACATGTAATTATATGAATGTTTAATGGAAAACCGATAAAAAAAAGTCCGTTTAAATGTTAAGAAAACTGTCAATTTTTCACATCCCTAGTAGAGATGCAGCAGATGTTTGTGTGTACACGTGTGTGTGTGTTTTACGTAAAAGGAAGTGATGACATCATCACTACGTGAACTGTTTACCAGGGTCACGTTCAAAATGTTGCAACCTTCTCAATGTTTCAGATAGAAACGTCTCGCATAGAGCTGACAAGATTCCCTATCCTACATGACAGAGAAGCATGTCTGTTCCATTTAGTCTATTTCTATCTGAATGTTCTCCAACATTGCATCCCAGTAAACGTGACCCAGACGGGAAAGAGCACAATAAATAAGTAATACTTTGGAAGTGCAGTTCTAGGCTGCGTCACAAATGGCACCCTATCTTAGGACTCTGGTCAAAAGTAGTCCTTTAAATAGGGAATATGGTACCTTTTGGGACCAAAGATTTACCCATGGGGGGAGGGAAGGTACTGTTAATGGGTTGTAATAATGGTGGTTAGCTGGATGAAATAGTGGAGTAAGCCACAGGAACAAAAGGATGCCGACAGACACGGACTGAAGCCCCCCAAGATTGAGGTTGAACTCAGTAGTAAAGTCGCATATACTGTATATACACACACACACACACACACACACACACACACACACACACAAAGTCAACAGGATGCAATTTGCAACAGGACACCGTTGGTCGCTCAACCTTACATACACGTGGACGTCCGCACACACGCTCGTGCTGTACACTAGCTAACATGCATTTGGCGCATTCATGTGTGTAGCCTATTTACACTAATATTGTAAATGCACGTACGCATGTTGACATGGACGGACACAAACGCACTCACGCACACACACACTGAGGGCCTGACAGTCTTTATTAGTTCATTTAGCCAGTGTGCTGCTAGGGCCATCTGGATACGTTTGCCTTGTTCGTCAGCTAGACTAGCTACTACTTACAGAGGTGCCTGCCAGTCCCCTATCTATCCCTGGGACTACTGCCCATGTGTCCCTACCTACAGCCAGCATGAGACACAGAAGTAATAGACATAAAGAAGAATTAGACAAAAGGACCTCAGTGCAGTTATAGCCTGCAGACCTATTAGTACTATAACATCACTATGGTAGAAAGATGACTGGATTCCAATTAATGGAAATGCCACATGACTTCAAAATACCACTTCAAGATGTTGCCAATGGCATCATGGCACAATTTGGATGGATTCCAATGAACGGCACATACAGCGCATTCGGAAAGTATTCAGACCCCTTCCCTATTTCCACATTTTGTTATGTTACAGCATTATTTTAAAAATGATTAAATAAATAAAACCTTCAAAAAAATACACCATAATGACAAAGCAAAAAACAGGTTTTTAGAAATGTTAGCAAATTTATTAAAACGTATTTACATAAGTATTCAGACCCTTTGCTATGAGACTCGAAATTGAGCTCAGGTGCATCCTTGTGTACATTGATCATCCTTGAGAGGATTCTACAACTTGATTGGAGTTCACCTGTGGTAAATTCAATTGATTGGACATGATTTGGAAAGGCACAGGATCGATATAACGTCCCACAGTTGAAAGTGAATATCAGAGCAAAAACCAAGCCATGAGGTCGAAGGAATTGTCCGTAGTGTTTCCGAGACAGGATTGTGTCGAGGCACAGATCTGGGGAAGGGTAACAAAACATTTCAGCAGCATTGAAGCTCCCCAAGAACACAGTGGCCTCCATCATTCTTAAATGGAAGAAGTTTGGAACCACCAAGACTCTTCCTAGAGCTGGCTGCCCGGCCAAACTGAGCAATCGTGGGAGAAGGGCCTTGGTCAGGGAGGTGACCAAGAACCCGATGGTCACTCTGACAGAGCTCCAGAGTTTCTCTGTGGAGATGGGAGAACCTTCCAGAAGGACAACCATCTCTGCAGCACTCCACCAATCAGGCCTTTATTGGTAGAGTGGCCAGACGGAAGCCACTCCTCAGTAAAAGGCACATGACAGCCCGCTAGGAGTTTGCCAAAAGGCACCTAAAGGACTCTCAGACCATGAGAAACAAGATTCTCTGGTCTGATGAAACCAAAATTGAACTCTTTGGCCTGAATACCAAGCGTCACGTCTGGAGGAAACCTGGCACCATCCCTACAGTGAAGCATGGTGGTGGCAGCATCGTGCTGTGGGGATGTTTTTCAGCGGCAGGGACTGGGAGACTAGTCAGGTTCGAGGGAAAGATGAACGGAGCAAAGTACAGAGAGTTCCTTGATGAAAACCTACTCCAGAGCGCTCAGGACCTCAGACTGGGGCGAAGGTTCACCTTCCAACAGGACAACGACCCTAAGCACACAGCCAAGACAACGCAGCCAGAGCCCGGACTTGAACCCGATCTAACATCTCTGGAGAGACCTGAAAATAGCTGTGCAGCAACGCTCCCCATCCAACCTGACAGAGCTTGAGAGGATCTGCAGAGAATAATGGGACAAACTCCCCAAATACAGGTGTGCCAATCTTGTAGCATCATACCCAAGAAGACTCTAGGCTGTAATCGCTGCCAAAGGTGATTCAACATTGTACGGAGTAAAGGGTCTGAATACTTATGTAAATGTGATATTTGCAAAAATTTCTACAAACCTGTTTTTGCTTTGTCATTATGGGGTATTGTGTGTAGATTGATGAGGGGGAAAAAACTATTTAATCAAATTTTAGAATAAGGCTGTAAAGTAATTTCAGAATGTTTCCATGTTGCTCAAATTGACACCAAGTAACAGACTAACTAGATGTAGCGGATGGCAAATTGCAACTGCCTTCCTGAGCTCTAGAGGTACTGTTATCCCAGTTCCAGATGCCTTGGCTGTCAGGGCGGAATTTCCACTCTGTCACATTTGAGTGACCCTTTTTTTGGTAAAAAGGGAAGAGAAGAAGGAGAGAGGAGGAAGAAGTGAGTAACCAACCAAACCCTGAGGATATTGAACAGAGAATATTCTTTATGACAGCAGTTCAGAACAATGACACTTGGTAACCCTCTCAAGCATCTTCACCTCTCCTCCTAACCACTGTCTAATTGAGTTAAAGAGACTTTCGTTTCAGACAACGCCAACATTTCATCAAGAACACAGGCTAGATTTAGGAGCCGTGTTTCTGTGGCTAAGTAAGTATTCATCTCCGTCTGTCCGTCTGTTTCTGTCTGCCTGTCTGTCTGCCTGCCTGTCCCATAGGATCTTATGTCCAGGGGCTACAGTAAAATTTAGACTAACCACAGTCATGCCCGCCATGGGACACAAGCATGGACCCCAACCCCCACAACCCTTGCCCCAAATAAACACTACTATAACGAGATGTCAAAACACACAGAGATTAAGATAATGCACGAGAGGTCGGGGGGAGTAAGAGGCATGGGGGAGGAGAGAGATTGGAGAGAGGGAACTGGGCACACAGAGCTCAGAGGGAGAGAAAGCTTGGGGGAGAAGGCGAGAGAGCAAGATTGGGTGAAAGTAAAGGGGAGACCTTGGGGTCTAGCCAGAGAGAAATAATGAGGGAGAAAATGAGAGGGGGAGAGAGAGTAAGAGCGAGACAGGGAGTGAGCTAGTGAGTGAGTGCTTGGGGGGGAGAGAGATCAACAGCTGAAAATGCCTTCCAACCATTGAGAGCAGACAGAGATTTTCGGGAGCTAATTTGACAGACCTCCTTATTTTAGATCCTGCTCTGCTCCGAGCGCTCATCAGGTCATTTGTTTGTTTGTCCATCCGTCAACTCAGATCTCTACTTGCCTTTCTTGTAACGGCTATGACGAAGTGTACAGACCCTGCTATGGAACCATGTTTCTTGACACGCAAATACCCAAGTACATCAAACATGTCATGTCCGTTACACACAAACGCGTCGCTCTTTAACTCTTTTATGCTTCTGGATATTCCTATAACTAGTGTCGTCAACTTTATAGGCAAAAACTACTATATATATGATTCATGAAAATGAATGAAACCCTACAAAACCCTATAAGCCTCAGTAGTACCAGAGGACAGAAAATAGAAACCCTATAATCCCTGTAACATTAGATGAGACCTATCATTGTCTGTATCTTCCAGCTCAGCTACACAGGAAATTAAAAAACACTGGGTAAATATAAACACACATACTTGTGTGTTTGTGTGCGTGTGTGTATGCACGCATTCTCCCTTTATTGCTTCCGTACTCAGCCGGTAGAGAGCTTAAGTCATTAACGCACTATGGTGGTGCATGCAGCATCCACTACAGTGTATACCCCAAGGTTAACATACAGAGGCTGCAGCTGGAATGGTGACAGAGATGACAGTGACAATTCTGTGATGGTGATGACTCCACACTGTTACCAATAAGCTCAACACCGTCACATTTGTCCAGGCCATTGCCTTGACACTAAGATCTAAGGCTGCATGTCCTTTCTAATAAACAATCCACTTTACCTCCTCTGCTATTGAACTCTAGCACTAGAGCGCTCTATCTGTATTGACAGAACTATTTCTGTCTTGTAATCAATATAACCTTAATACACTTAGAGCTTGCAATCAAGGGACAGGATGTCTCGCTTGTAACTGGTTGCGATAACATCAAATCTTGTTTGTGTCTTTGACATGCTGCCCAAGGTATTCCACATGAGCGAATTTCACCCCAACCAAGACACTCTGCTACTACTTGTATGTTGCCATGGTATTTTTCTTAAATAATACATTAAATCTATTGTATAATACATGTAGAAAGCAGGTCATTGCACAGTGCAATCCGCATTCATAGTCCACAAAGTACTTAAGTACTTATGTTTTTGACACTTCTATAAACCAAAAAATCCATCCATCCATTATCACATAATAGCGTAACATATCACTGTAATCTCTACCTCAATTAATTTGTCAACAGAGCAGTGCATTATTTGAACAGCTGACAAAGTGAATACAGTGGGAAAAAGTATTTAGTCAGCCTATTGTGCAATTAAAGATGAGAGAGGCTGTATTTTCCATCATAGTACATTCACTATGAAGACAAATTGAGAAAAAAATCAAAAATCACATGTAGGATTTTTAATGAATTATTGCAAATAGGTGGAAAAAGTATTGGTCACCACAAACAGCAAGATTCTGCTCTCACAGACCTTACTCTTCTTTAAGAGGCTCCTCTGTCCTCACTCGTACCTTATTAATGCATCTGTTTAACTTGTTAAACAAAAGACACCTCACACCTCAAACGTCACACTCCAACTCCACTATGCAGACAAGAGCTGACAAGGACACCAGAAACAAAATTGTAGACCTGCACCAGGCTGGGAAGACTGAATCTGCAATAGGTAAGCAGCTTGGTTTGAAGAAATCAATTGTGGGAGCAATTATTAGGAAATGGAAGACATACAAGACCACTGATAATCTCCCTCGATCTGGGGCTCCACGCAAGATCTCACCCCGTAGGGTCAAAATGATCACAAGAACGGTGAGCAAAAATCCCAGAACCACACGGGGGGACCTAGTGAATGACCTGCAGAGAGCTGGGACCAAAGTAACAAAGCCTACCATCAGTAACACACTACGCCGCCAGGGACTCAAATCCTGCAGTGCAAGACGTGTCCGCCTGCTTAAGCCAGTACATGTCCAGGCCTGTCTGAAGTTTGCTAGAGTGCATTTGGATGATCCAGAAGAGGATTGGGAGAATGTCATATGGTCAGATGAAACCAAAATATAACTTTTTGGTAAAAACTCAACTCGTCGTGTTTGGAGGACAAAGAATGCTGAGTTGCATCCAAATAACACCATACCTACTGTGAAGTATGGGGGTGGAAACATCATGCTTTGGGGCTGTTTTACTGCAAAGGGACCAGGACGACTGATCCGTGTAAAGGAACGAATGAATGGGGCCATGTATCGTGAGATTTTGAGTGAAAACCTCCTTCCATCAGCAAGGGCATTGAAGATGAAACGTGGCTGGGTCTTTCAGCATGACAATGATCCCAAACACACCGCCCGGGCAATGAAGGAGTGGCTTCGTAAGAATCATTTCAAGGTCCTGGAGTGGCCTAGCCAGTCTCCTGATCTCAACCCCATAGAAAATCTTTGGAGGGAGTTGAAAGTCTGTGTTGCCCAGCGACAGCCCCAAAACATCACTGCTCTAGAGGAGATCTGCATGGAGGAATGGGCCAAAATACCAGCAACAGTGGGTGAAAACCTTGTGAAGACTTACAGAAAACGTTTGACCTGTGTCATTGCCAACAAAGGGTACATAACAAAGTATTGAGAAACTTTTGTTATTGACCAAATACTTATTTTCCACCATAATTTGCAAATATGTTCATTAAAAATCCTACAATGTGATTTTCTGGATTTTTTTTTCTCATTTTGTCTGTCATAGTTGATGTGTACCTATGATGAAAATTACAGGCCTCTCTCATCTTTTTAAGTGGGAGAACTTGCACAATTGGTGGCTGACTAAATACTTTTTTTCCCCACTGTACATCATGATCATTTCTAGCTTACACGACCAGAAGCGGTTGATTCACAGATGTTGTTAGGACAGCTGACCGTTTCCCGACCATTCTGTTTCTTCTGTGTCCTCTCAAACAGAACCTTCCACACACACACACACACACACACACACACACACACACACACACACACACACACACACCCGAGGTACGCTTCTCTAGGTCTTTCTCCCATTCCCAGTTTTGCTGTGTGATGTACAGTAATACTCAATCTATATACTCAATATTCTCAATAGTCCATACTCTCTTCTAGTCATGTCTGCCAGCCTTCATATCAAATAGATAAGGGTTCAATATCAATCTATTGCTCGATCAAAAACAAACACAGAACACAAAGCAGTGCACAAGAGGGGAAGACTCAGAGTATAATATTTCCCTTCAGTGCCCACTATAAACTCCAGACTACCCAATATCATGAATGAACCACTGAGCGAGTTTTACCTTTCATCAAGCTGCTTCAGTTCCCCCTTGCTCTTTCTCTTCAACCTCTGTCACCGACAAGCCTCTCTGTAGAGAGCTAGTGATACAGTCCCGCTTTCTCTCTATTCCTCTCTCTGACTGCAACACACGCGACACAGTACTGTTCTACCTCCCTCTTTCGCACGCACACACACACAGTGCAGCTGTGCCAGTGCACACACACACAGACACACACACAGACACACCCTGGGCACCACTCCAGAGTCAAAGGGCTCTGGTTTCTGACGCCCTCTTCACTGCCCTGGGATGAGACACTGATAGAGGGAGGGAGAGGGAGATGAAGAGGCAGAGTTGATGAGAGAGAGAGAGAGAGAGAGAGAGAGAGGAGAGAGAGAGAGAGAGAGAGATGAGAGAGAGAGAGAGAGAGAGAGAGAGAGAGAGAGAGAGAGAGAGAGAGAGAGAGAGAGAGAGAGAGAGAGAGAGAGAGAACTTTAGGGAGAGCTTAATGCCTCACATAAGAAAAACATCCCCATTCGAAATGGCAACATCTGGAAAAACTACTTTGAAAACGATATGAAAATCCAGAATGTCCGAACTTTAACGAGACTCAGACCAAATTAGTTGATCAATTAAACAACGTAGAAACAATTAAAGACCAACAAAACCCATTAGATATACCCATCACAATAACAGAGCTGAAAGAGAAAATCAAAGCCCTCAAGTGCGGTAAAGCCTGTGGGCCAGACACTATCTGCAATAAGATGTTGAAGAAAAGCAGCACTAAGCTGCAGGAAGCCAGACTCAAGCTCTTCAACCTAGTGAAAAAAGTATTTGATCCCCTGCTGATTTTGTACGTTTGCCCACTGACAAAGAAATGGTCAGTCTATAATTTTAATGGTAGATTTATGTAAACAGTGAGAGACAGAATAACAACAAAATAATCCAGAAAAACGCATGTCAAAAATTTTATAAATTCATTTGCATTTTAATGAGGGAAATAAGTATTTGACCCCTCTGCAAAACATGACTTAGTACTTGGTGGCAAAACCCTTGTTGGCAATCACAGAGGTCAGACGTTTCTTGTAGTTGGCCACCAGGTTTGCACACATCTCAGGAGGGATTTTGTCCCACTCCTCTTTGCAGATCTTCTCCAAGTCATTAAGGTTTCGAGGCTGACGTTTGGCAACTCGAACCTTCAGCTCCCTCCACAGATTTTCTATGGGATTAAGGTCTGGAGACTGGCTAGGCCACTCCAGGACCTTAATGTGCTTCTTCTTGAGCCACTCCTTTGTTGCCTTGGCCGTGTGTTTTGGGTCATTGTCATGCTGGAATACCCATCCACGACCCATTTTCAATGCCCTGGCTGAGGGAAGGAGGTTCTCACCCAAGATTTGATGGTACATGGCCCCGTCCATCGTCCCTTTGATGCGGTGAAGTTGTCCTGTCCCCTTAGCAGAAAAACACCCCCAAAGCATAATGTTTCCACCTCCATGTTTGACGGTGGGGATGGTGTTCTTGGGGTCATAGGCAGCATTCCTCCTCCTCCAAACACGGCGAGTTGAGTTGATGCCAAAGAGCTCGATTTTGGTCTCATCTGACCACAACACTTTCACCCAGTTCACCTCTGAATCATTCAGATGTTCATTGGCAAACTTAAGACGGCGCTGTATATGTGCTTTCTTGAGCTGGGGGACCTTGCGGGCGCTGCAGGATTTCAGTCCTTCACGGTGTAGTGTGTTACCAATTGTTTTCTTGGTGACTATGGTCCCAACTGCCTTGAGATCATTGACAAGATCCTCCCGTGTAGTTCTGGGCTGATTCCTCACCGTTCTCATGATCATTGCAACTCCACGAGGTAAGATCTTGCATGGAGCCCCAGGCCAAGGGAGATTGACAGTTATTTTGTGTTTCTTCCATTTGCGAATAATCACACCAACTGTTGTCACCTTCTCACCAAGCTGCTTGGCGATGGTCTTGTAGCCCATTCCAGCCTTGTGTAGGTTTACAATCTTGTCCTTGACATCATTGGAGAGCTCTTTGGTCTTGGCCATGGTGGAGAGTTTGGAATCTGATTGATTGCTTCTGTGGACAGGTGTCTTTTATACAGGTAACAAACTGAGATTAGGAGCACTCCCTTTAAGAGTGTGCTCCAAATCTCAGCTCGTTACCTGTATAAAAGACACCTGGGAGCCAGAAATCTTTCTGATTGAGAGGGGGTCAAATACTTATTTCCCTCATTAAAATGCAAATCAATTTATAACATTTTTGTCATGCGTTTTTCAGGATTTTTTTTGTTGTTATTCTGTCTCTCACTGTTCAAATAAACCTACCACTAAAATTATAGACTGATCATTTCTTTGTCAGTTGGCAAACGTACAAAATCAGCAGGGGATCAAATACTTTTTCCCCTCACTGTAGGATACTTTCCAGAAATATGGAATAAAGCCATAACACCCATACTGAAAAGTGGAGACAAATTCCACCCTAATAATTATCGCAGTTTCTGCGTGACCAGTAATCTAGGGAAGGTTTTCTGCAACATAATACATTTGGGAATACAAACCTTCCTCAACGAAAAGTGTTTTAAGTGCATGTTAAATTGGCTTCTTACCGAAACAAAGAACATCTGACCACATCTACACCCTCCACACCCTTATTAAAAAACATGTTTATCAGTCTACCAAGGGTTAAATATTTGCCTGCTTTATTGACTTCAAAAAAGCATTCGATTCCATCCAGCATAAAGGACTCTTCCTCAAGCTCATCCAAAGTGGAGTTGGAGGAAGAACCTGTGACGTTATTAAATCAATGAACATTGAAAATAAATGTTATGTTAAAAAAAAAATAACTTTAAACCAGGGGTGAGGGGGTCACCAGGGGCAGCAATCTGAGCCCAGCACTGTTTAATATCTACAGTGGGGTCTGGAATTATTGGATCCCTTGATAAAGATGAGCAAAAAAGACTGTCAGTGTTTCCCTATATGCATTTAGCTGCTAAATCGTGGCCGCCACAACATTATTATATATTTATATATTTTTTATAATCTTTGTGATGGTAAAACGTTTTCAGTGCAAACTTAAACGACTAAAACCAGATTTAAAGTATGTATAAAAGATAATGGCACAATATATTTTTTAAATAAGATCATCTTTGAGAACAAGCACCAAAATAAAAAATAGACAGTCAGGGAGAATTGAAAATGTCAAAAATAGACATGAAAATAGAGCTCTTTGGCCACGCATAACCCCATACCTACTGTAAAATATGGTGGTGGATCTTTGATGTTATCGGGCAGTTTGCTTCCACTGGTGTTGATATAGATAATTTTTGTTGCTCAAACATATTGTTAATTTATGCAATACTTCACATACATCTCTTTGGCAACAGTGGCAATCACCCATTCATGCCAATAAAGCATTTATTGAATTGAGAGAGTTAATAATGGAAAACATATTGACAGGCACAGAGAGCAATGGTGAGAGAGGAGAGCGAGAGGAGGGAGAGTGAAAGAGAGAAGAGCAGAGAGATAGCATGCTGTGAAGCTTTTAAATAACATTTGTAACCTTGTCTCGTGTCCCTCATGTATTTATGTATACTCCCAGATGGGAGCTGTCTAATCATTCTCTCTCACCCTCTGTCTCCAGCTGCCATACACTTATTTGCGCCCGCCTTCAATCGCTCCCTCACCGGCATCCCGAAAACGCCCATTATTTCCTAGTATCCTTTTTATATTGATCATTACTCACTGTGATGCGCACTCTGCTCCGTGTCACGTAACTCTCTGTTGTTTTTGGTCATGGTACCATAACTATAATACCACAGAGGAGGAGTACCAAAATATATAATCCTCTTTTACTGCATGGTGAGCTAGACACAACAGCTGGTGCGGAGTCACACACCATTATGTTTTGAGTGTGTGTGTGTGTGGAGGGGCACACCATTATGTTTGAGTGTGTGTGTGTGTCTGTCTCCGTCTGTGTGCGTGTGTGACAGAGAGACTGAAATGTGGTGGTATGTGGTAGCATGTCAAATACAAGGTTGCAAGACAACAGAATGGGATTTGATGCTTTAGTAGAGTAGAGGCATTTTCACAACAACGTGGCATAAGCTTGGGACACAGGGGACAGGGGATAAGACAATGAGGGACACACACACACACACACAACTGTTCTCTCTAGCATGGTCATCTTGCTGCTTAGTGTGCTTCTCGTCTCTCAATGTCATACCAAGCCATGTTGGACTTGCTTAATGACCATTCCAGAATGAACAAAACATGTCAAATATATTTGTTCTTCATTTAGGGTTATGGTTAGAGTTAGTGGTTAAAGGTAGACTCCACAATATTACATCATCATACAAAGCAGGGCAACATCCTGCGTACACTAATGCTCATCCCACTTTGCACTCCTCCTCCCAGCTTGAGGCTTGCCTACACTGTAAAAAGCCAATAGAGGCAGTCTTGGCCGATCTGAATTCTCAATTGTATTCAGGGCACTTTTGCAACGGAAAACTCTGTTTCTTGTTGGACAAGTTCCGGTAGTACTCCCTGTTTTAGTAAATTTTTTCCCATTTGCCAAATGAATACAATCCTGTTGATGATTTCTGTAAACAGGAAGTCGCCCGGGTATGTGTGATAATGGCATCATGCGGAGTGTAACTTTAAAATCCCATGTGGTTAGAAATCATAGCATCCTTTCTGGCATTGGACTACCTGGTAATCCCAACCAGCCCCCTAGTGAGCTACTACTAAGCCCAAAGAGACACAGGCTATAAAGTTGTCTCATTAAAGAGCGGAAGCCAGCAGTAATTTGTCCTTCCTGTGCTTTCTTGTCCTATCTAACCCCTGACTGTTGCCCAGTGAACCTGAACGCTTGTGTTGACTGTCTGCCTACCCAGTCAGTCCACAACTCACCACTGCCCCTCTCTGATGTTTTAGTTCTGACTGCTGTGTGTGTAAGTGTGTGTGTACGAAGTCTGTGTACCAAGCTTTACACATAAGCAGCACATAAAGTACACACACATTTACATTTTTAGTCATTTAGCAGACGCTCTTAGCCAGAGCGACTTACAGTTAGTGAGTGCGTACATTTTTCATACTGGCCCCCCGTGGGAATCGAACCCACAACCCTGGCGTTGCAAGCGCCATGCTCTACCAACTGAGCTACACACACCTCAGACGATTCAATCCTCAATAAATGTGTCGGGAGGAATTGTTGGCACAACATAGCCCATAATCCGATGTCATTTTGGGCCACTTGGCATGTAGTACAGTAGTCAGTGCCAAGAGGTAATAACATTTCTTGGCATCCTTCAAAAACATAGCCAGTATTTTTTAACAGCTTCCCTCTTATAGATACATCTAGACCACTGTTAGCCTAGTCATAGGTTTGTCTAGTTCTTGCCAATTTCTATGGTGATAATAACCATAGTAGATGGCGAGACAGCACAAACAGATCTAGGACCAGGCTGGAATTCCCTTCACAATGTTAACATTTTAGAGGTTTCTATGGTGAACCTTGTAGACCACACAAAACAGATTTACTCTAGACAAGCAATTTTCTTTTTTTAAAGATGGCTCAAGACCTACCTTGGCTTCACATTCGTTATGAACGGCTGTCTTGCACTCTGCAATGAGAGAGAAAAGAGACCGTGTGAGAGTTGGTTGTGTGTGTGTGTGAATTGTGTGTGTAACACACTGTACTCACCCCCGGGGATGTCGATGGCCTGTCGTTTCATCCTACAGCTCTTCTCTGTGAACGCGTGGGACACGGCTCCTTTACCAAGCTGTAACAGAACACATCACAATGTGAGGGACAGAGACTGTGATTGAGAGTGTTTGATGGTCACATGTACAGGGTTGCAGGTGTGATTGCAGGCTACAGTGAAAATCTTAGGCTTCGAGCTCCAACATAGAGGACAAAGTGAAACTGGTCATATAAAACAATAGAAATAGAACTATATGCATCATAACAACTGTAGCAGTGATTAATAAATAAATGTCCATTGGGGTGGAGGCAGAGTAAAGGCTGCTGAGAGGGTGGGGGGTGGGGGGTGGGGGGGGATGACCATAGGGGGAGCAGCAGCATGACCATTGAGGGGATGTGGGGCTCAAGTAAAATAAAAACAATAAACATAAAAAATAAAAAAATAATAATAATAATAAACATATTAACAACTGCAATAGTGATGAATGTCGTTGGGGGGAATGTCAATAGGGGGAGTAGTAGGGGTACAGGGGGAGTAGGTAGCTGACTAGTGGTGGCTGTTCAGCAGCCTGATGGTCTGGGGTTAGAAACTATTGGCCAGTCTTTCGGTTTTTGCCATGATGCTCCTGTACTGCCCACGTCTGAGCGGGGAGAACAGGGCATGGCTTGGGTGGCTGGGGTCCCTGATGATCTCCTTGAATGAGTAGGTGTGTCCACACTTTTGACTGGTAGTGTATGTCTATATGTCCATGTCTTCACTCTTTGTGTTACAGGTTGAAGGGATGGAAGGATTCAGACTAGAGAGAGAGGCACCACTACTATTTTCCTTACAACAGGGAGAGAGGTGATGTTTGCACAGCTGCCTAGACTGGCACAGTGCAGTACAGGCACCCTTTCAGTGGAAACCTAGGCTAGACAGTGGGCACTGTACTGTGCACTGCCAACAGGCACCAGTGACTAAAACTAGAACCCCAAAAAATTAAACTCAAATTATTATCTAATCTGTTTAAAAAATGGTGGCTCAAAACCCACTGTTTGTGGCTAAAGCTTAGTAGTTACTGGCTAGAAATATTGCTTTGTTAATTTGTGGGTCGCAATATATCTTGAAAAGCTTTATCTGAATCACATCGCAAAGAAGTTTGGGAGCCACTGAGTAAAGCTGAGAGGAGAGGCAGAGAGAAGAGAAGTAGAGACAAGAAGGGCTTGGTTCGATGAGAGAACATCATCTGTCAGAAAACTAAAATGGGAATGGATTTAGAGTTTCATTCCATTGCTGCTGCTCATTTTACAAGTGGACATTTGCTCAGACAGTCTTGACATTGGGAAATGGATGTGCTAATTCAATAAGCAAGATCAAAACATACAGGAACATTGAATGGACTACATAAAAACAGCTGGTTATGCATGCACACACACATACACACACGGGATTCAGACTCACCTGCCTACAAGATACAACACTTATTTTAAGCAACACAGTTACATTCATACACATATTTAAACATAGAAATCAAAACAACTACATTCATACACACACATACACACACACACACACACACACACAGTCCCTGTGAGGGTGTACAGTGCCTTGCAAAAGTATTCATCCCCCTTGGCGTTTTTCCTATTTTGTTGCCTTACAACCTGTAATTAAAATGGATTTTTATTTGGATTTCATGTAATGGACATACACAAAATAGTGCAAATTGGTGAAGTGAAATGAAAAAATAACTTGTTTCAAAAAATTCTACAAAATAAATAACGGAAAAGTGGTGCGTGCATATGTATTCACCCCCTTTGCTATGAAGCCCCTAAATAAGATCTGGTGAAACCAGTAGAAGGATTACTTTATCCTATCCCAGGTATTCCTGAAAGAGGTGGGGTTTCAAATGTCTCCGGAAGGTGGTGAGTGACTCCGCTGTCCTGGCGTTATAAAAAAATATCTGAAACATTGAACATCCCACGGAGCACCATTAAATCCATTATTAAAAAATGGAAAGATGGCACCACAACAAACCTGCCAAGACTCACAGACCAGGCAAGGAGGGCATTTATCAGAGGCAACAAAGAGACCAAAGATAACCCTGAAGGAGCTGCAAAGCTCCACAGCGGAGATTGGAGTATCTGTCCATAGGACCACTTTAAGCCGTACACTCCAAAGAGCTGGGCTTTACAGAAGAGAGGCCAGAAAAAAGCCATTGCTTAAAGAAAAAAAATAAGCAAACACGTTTGGTGTTCACCAAAAGGTATGTGGGAGACTCTCCAAACATATGGAAGAAGGTACTCTGGTCAGATGAGACTAAAATTGAGCTTTTTGGCCATCAAGGAAAACGCTATAATAATAATAATTGGTCATTTAGCAGACGCTCTTATCCAGAGCGACTTACAGGAGCAATTAGGGTTAAGTGCCTTGCTCAAGGGCACATCGACAGATTTTTCACCTAGTGGGCTCGGGGATTAGAACCAGCGACCTTTCGGTTACTGGCACAACGCTCTTAACCACTAAGCTACCTGCCGCCCATGTCTGGCACAAACCCAACACCTCGCATCACCCTGAGAACACCATGTTTTTCCATCGGCAGGGACTAGGAAACTGGTCAGAATTGAAAGAATGATGGATGGCGCTAAATAAAGGGAAATTCTTGAGGGAAACCTGTTTCAGTCTTCCATTGATTTGAGACTGGGACGGAGGTTTACCTTCCAGCAGGACAATGACCCTAAGCATACTGCTAAAGCAACACGCGAGTGGTTTAAGAGGAAACATTTAAATGTCTTGGAATGGCCTAGTCAAAGTCCAGACAAACGTCTGAGGACGTCCTAAAGCGGTGTCATCTGATTGCATGTGAAGTACATTAAGTCATTAATCTATCCTCCCCAGAAGGGAGGAGGAGAGTGTGGTCTAACTAACACAAACTCCAGTGACAAACACATGTATTTATTCACTCACTCCATCACAAGGCCATCACAAGGCTCTCCATTGGCCGCCCCTCCCTCCTTCTCTCCCTCCATCCCACATTCTAAGAGGAGGCATAATCACACACTTTGTAGCTTTGTTGTGATTTAAAAGGTTGCTTTAAAGTCTCTGTGTGTGTGTTCTATCAAGATCAATAGAGTTTATGTAGACCACTGAAGTTGCCCCTGGCTTGTTTTTAACATGCATGGATGTTAAAATAGCATGTTCAATAGCATAGTGGTCATCATACAGACATTCAGATTGCCAGAGCACAGTGTGAAAATACATACAATGATGTATTGATATGTGTCCAGACTGTTCAATTTGTGGTCACTTTGCATGTTTACTAAACTGCTACTGGACTCATCAGAATGGATGGATGGATGGATCTGTCATTATAACTGTGTGTGTTTGTTACCACTAGCATGGGAAGTGGGAGAGATGACTAATCTGTAAATTTCAATCTCTGTCTTTTTGTCACTCGCTATCTACCCATTTCTGTCTTTCTCTGTCGCTCGTTAGATACTAGGCATACATCTTTTATTAGATCCATCAGCTGGTATACTGTTATATAACTCATGATTAGGGCTGTCTCCTAGAATCAATTTGAGTTATGCAATTCAGTGTCCATCCTTTAAAAAAAGAATGGTCAAGGGCAAGGGAAATGAGCTGATGAATCTGGAAAGATAAACACTGAAGAAACAAAACTTGCGTGGTGTACACACTATGTGAACTCGCCTACACCCCTGGAAAAGACCAGTGACTTAACTTGTTTAATTTGAAACTAATACTTTCCATCCATGGAAAATTAGACTTCTTACATAAGACATTCAGGAAGCAATCCAGGAATCTCAAGTGACACAAGCTCAAATGAAATTAACTGTTGGGTAAAACTGGACATAAAGTTAAGTGGGATGATACAAGCATAGCATATACTGGTAGTATAGTATTCTACAATTCATATTGTAGTATGATAGCCTATTGTTTAGTCTAGTTTAGTGGATTATAGTATGGTATAGTAGAAATGTTGAATGGAGTCGAGGTTCGTGGTTGTTAAAGAGTGTATTAGGTTAACCGTTAAGAGTACAATAATTAGGAAATCCGGTAGAAATTGGAGTCATGCTGTTTTCACTCGCTTTTGTCAGCAGATAATAAGAAACTGAAAAATGACAGAAGTACCCACATACAGTTGAAGTCGGAAGTTTACATACACTTAGGTTGGAGTCAATGAAACTCGTTTTTCAACCACTCCACAAATTTCTTTTTAACAAACTATAGTTTTGGCAAGTCAGTTAGGACATCTACTTTGTGCATGACACAAGTAATTTTTCCAACAATTGTTTACAGACAGATTATTTCACTTATAATTCACTGTATCACAATTCCAGTGGGTCAGAAGTTTACATACACTAAGTTGACTGTGCCTTTAAACAGCTTGGAATATTCCAGAAAATGATGTCATGGCTTTAGAAGCTTCTGATAGGCTAATTTACATAATTTGAGTCAATTGGAGGTGTACCTGTGGATGTGTTTCAAGGCCTACTTTCAAACAGTGCCTCTTTGCTTGACATCATGGGAAAATCAAAAGAAATCAGCCAAGACCTCAGAAATAAAATGGTAGACCTCCACAAGTCTGGTTTATCCTTGGGAGCAATTTCCAAACACCTGAAGGTACTACGTTCATCTGTACAAACAATAGTACGCAAGTATAAACACCATGGGGCCACACAGCCGTCATACCGCTCAGGAAGGAGACGCGTTCTGTCTCCTAGAGATTAACGTACTTAGTTTGGTGCGAAAAATGCAAATCAATCCCAGAACAACAGCAAAGGACCTTGTGACGATGCTGGAGGAAACAGGTACAAAAGTATCTATATCCACAGTAAAACGAGTCCTATATCGACATAACCTGAAAGGCTGCTCAGCAAGGAAGAAGCCACTGCTCCAAAACCGCCATAAAAAAGCCAGACTACGGTTTGCAACTGCACATGGGGACAAAGATCGTACTTTTTGGAGAAATGTCCTCTGGTCTGATTAAACAAAAATAGAACTGTTTGGCCATAATGACCATCGTTATGTTT